GGGTTCAGTTTATCCAACGCTATTATCTAAACACCATTTGTAGTGAACAGTTTTATTAAAGTATATAGTGTATGCTAGAAAGCATTTATCTTCTTAAAATAACCCACCAAGGAAGTGATCTGGTGGTCCGAAGATTTCTTAAACCGCGGTCTAAGTTAGACTTCCTTTAAATATCCGACCCACTGGTTCTACACTGGGATTCAAGATTATTCACAACATGAGTCCTAGGATTCATCACTACTTTTTCTAACAAAATCACTGTGCATCATCGTTTTATTCATATACTTCAACAAACAACAAAATCAAGAGCAAATCGCTCTGATCTTTACATGAAATAGATATTAATAAACGATAAACGCCTTCTTTCTACGCGCTTACAGACTGACTTTGTGATGAAAACTTAGTATGGACTTTCGAAGCACAGTTATTGGAAACCAATTATGTGACCACCTGTTCCATCCCTTCGGAAAAAGTTACCCGCCATTTTAAGCGAACACTGCATGAGAATCATCATCATGATCTTTTATTACATGTATAAAGTGCTTTTAAAGACGCCTGAATTCTAACAATTCTTGCTTTAAAAACAATACCAATGTCTACAATATTCATAAAAGCCGCTTTAAACGTGAAACCTGCAGGCCATTTGATGTCGTCTTATTAACAATTTTCTTTCAATGCAATTGTCATTCAAGAAGAGGATTTTAATTCCAGCTGAACCTTTAATCAACGTGACGGCGTACAGTTTGAACACAAAAGAAGGGGAGGGCCATTCGTAACATGAATGCTTCCTATGACAAGAGATTTAAAAAAAACTAACACTTTTAAAATGAAGAATAACTTGCAAAGCAAACACTTTCTAGATAAAAACGAAGATTATTTGCCTAGTTTGCAGTACAAATAAAATAAGAGGTCTTGTGTAAAAGCTTGGATACGCATGCTGTACCGAGGAGCTGGTATTTATACAATAACAGCGAAACAGCCGGTTTGCGCTGCCAACACTGCTTTATAGGAAAGCCAAAAGCACTAAAAGTCACAGGCACAAATAAATAGACACATTACAGAAAAATAAAGGCGGTCGATAAAGCCCACCATTAGCTACTACTGCCAGATACTGATAATAAATATTACTTATAATATATATTAGCGCGCTAGGTGTTGTCAATCCCTTATCCTGCTAAAGTGGACGATATACCGCTTAGAACGTCTACTTACACAAAATATGTTATATCTCAAATTGTCCTTGCTAACAAGCAAACCGACTGTGCCGGCTTAGAATAGAATAGGACATACCAAAGTAAGAACGATTCAATGGCAAAATGGATGGAAATCAGGCGCGGATCAAGAATTAATACTGACCGATTTCCTACTTCTAGGGAGGTCTGGGGGCATGGTTGCTCTGGAAATGTTTTGATTTCAACTCCCCAAAGTCCCCTTCCCTGGGTTTCTGAGTCATTCAGACAGATTATTTAGTCACTGTCCAAACCATTTTCCAGATTTTAACTTGGAAAGTTTAAAGTTGTTTACTGAAAATATATTTATTATGAAAAATCAGACCGATTTCTGTAAAACGGTAAACCGGTATGGATCCGGGCCTGGAAACTAACAGAGTAGTCAAGAAACAGCCCTGGACAGCTTCTTTGCATTTATTAAAATTCATCAGCACAGCCAAGCTGGAAGCTTTTACAAAACAGATGTAATCAGCTGCAATATACATGTACTAATGACAAGCAATGAAACTAGGCTAATTATTAGGCCTTTGTACATTATGCTAGCATTTTTTAGAGCATTTTAGTGAGGCAAAAGCATTGAGCATTATTCGAGCATTTTAGTGGCGTTTTCCCCAGAAAATTAATTTTTCCGAGAAAATGAAATAGAAATTAACTTTTTTCAGGAGCCCATACCCCATGAGCTCCTCCTTTTTTAAACAAAATGAAGACTAAAATTCAAAATTCACAAAAAACCTAATAAAGCTGGTTTTTTGGCTGTATTTATGAACTTGTATACGTTGTCGTTGTTACTTGCAACATTTGCACGTTTTTGTAAGTGTAAACTTTGAAATTAATTTAAAAAAACCGTTTGTATAATGAGCATTATCCGAGCATTTTAGTGACTTTTTTGGGGAGACCGAGCATTTTAGTAGGAAAAATGGAGCATTAAGGTGGAGCATTTTAGTAGGGAAGCAAAAGCATAATGTACAAAAGCCTACTAATTATGCTACCAATTTTCATTCTCCTTTTATTTCAAATACAGTAATATCACTTTTTGGAATTCAATATTTTTTACTATTTCAGAGTTGTAAACAAGTTACCTTCAAATTTTCACAAATTTTGAATAACTTTTTTGGTGAGCGCTCCATAGAGAAAACAGGTAATCTATCAATTTTTTGCCGAAAATTCAAAACTTTCTAGACCTCTATGATTGTCAAACTGTCGCCTTTGTTCTTCTATCAGCTGGCCAGTTATGCAAATCAGATCTACTTTGTCTTCTTTTACATTTATCAAAAGTCATTTGTAGCTAAATAACCATTATCAAAGAAACTTGTAGGTCGCTACAAGTCTGTTTCTCATGCAACACTAAATAAAGAGTTTGCATTGACCAAGACATGACAAATCAGACAAATAAATCAACCATGTCAAACTGTTGCGTTTGTTCAGTGTTCTGTCAGTTGGTCAGTTATGTAAATAATCCATTTTGTCGGGGTTTTTTTTACATTTATTCAAAGTCATTTGCAGAAAAATAACCGGCATCATCACTGAACCTCGTAGGTCGCTAAAAGTCTGTTTCTCATGCAACACTAAATAAAGAGTTTGCATTGACCAAGAGATGACAAATCAGACAAATAACTCAACCATCACTCACCCAGACAAAATGTCCTTTTCTTCGGTACAAGTCATCGCTTGGAGTTGTACTCTTGCGACTGAAGCTGTTGTTATTCTCGTGGGAAACTTGCTCATAATTATACTTTTTGCACTTAACAAGAAACTACGATCTAAGAAAAGTTTATATCTTGTTTTGAATATGGCATTTGCTGATCTGTTTCTGGGAGCTGTATGTCTCCCTATGTATATCTATTTCCTGCTGGCTAACGGTCAGGTTAGAGTTGATGAAAAAACTCCAACGTTTTTTACAATAATTTTCTTCGTCTTTGCTAAGGCATCATTCATTACCGCTGCTTTGATATCTTGTGAGAGATTTTACGCCATCTATTGGCCGCTGAAGCACCGGCAGACACTTTCTACGCGAGCATACAGGTTCGTTACTTTGACAGTGTGGACATTAAGTATCCTTGGGTCTCTTTTTATAGTTTTTCTCCTGCAATTCGTAAGCTTGGTGGCTCCGACTTCTTTAGTGTGTTTAATCTTCGTGTCTGTACTTCTAATCACCAGCGGCCTCAATTTTGGTGTTTGGAGAAAGATTCAGCAACAACCTGTTCCTCATCACCAAAACAGAGCCTTGCAAAGACGACGCTTAACGAAGACCTTGTTATTAGTGTCTCTCATCGCCTTGGGTTCTTGGCTTACACCTTTGGTTTATTCCTTGATAGCCTTTCTTGGATATAGGATGTCTAACAACATTTCCCTCATAACGTACTTTACCTATTTCTCCAACTCCTTTATCAATCCAATACTGTACGTACTAAGAATTCCTGATTTCAAAGAGGCTCTCAGTTTATGCTGTTTTACAAGACACGAAGTGATGAGCAGCAAAGAAAATGCAGAAAGGGATGAGATGGCTGCAGATTTGGCGCCAGTGATACAGAGACGAACATTGACAATGGATCACAATATTTTACAGCTCACTTTTGAACAGGAAATTGTACAAGATACAAAATTGTGATATAAAATGTAAGAGCGACAAAAAATGGTAAGAAAAGGATCATGGATTGTCATGGCGTAGCCCGCAGAAAACATTACGGTGCCGAATTCAATTGATAACTCAATACTGCTTGAGGCGAACTTCAGCTGAACTTTGTGATCCATTAAATTGGTGAAAAATAAATTTTTGGCGCCTTTCCTTTTTTCGGTCTGTTAGCTAGGCGAGAGATTAAATCGATGTACATGACGGTAAAAACATGGCTGTAACGCTTACAAAACATACCAAACACCGTGTTTTATTCGTTAAGAACAAATGAAAGAATATTGCTGGTTGTGCAGACAAACAGTGATGATGATAATGATTAAATAGATGTGGCAATGGAGAAAATATCCTAACCCACCCATGGAGGGTCACTGGACCTGATTCCGAAGGGTAGTAGGTTCTTAGCAGGCATATAAGTCATAAGCTAAACTAGCACTTCCAGAGGGTTGGGAGACAGGGATCGAACCAATAAACCCTTGTTTTTTGGGGGGGAGGGGGGGTGCAGAGGTTATGGATTTGCATCATCGTTTTCAGTTACATTATTATGACGCATCATAATCCCAAAAATATAATTGCATGGGCCGGGCCTCTCCTAGGACGCAAAGATCGATCGATCGATCCGAAGACGTCTTTGTAGAAAATCCAGCTCGTGTGATTTCTTTTGCTGTTGTTTAACGATACATATTTCCTTTAGTCCCCTCATTTTTGTTGTTTAAATAGAAGGACTAGAGTTTGTCTTCAAATTCAGTAACTGCCTGGATACATAAGACCAAAGCATTTTCAATTTAGAACTCGTTGTTTTTTTGAACTGGGACTCATTATGGGTAGAATATTTAAGTCGAGTTTAAAGATTTTTTTATAGAACCGCGTTCTAAGTCATTTTCAGCTTACCCAACGCTTTTATCTAAACACCATTCGGAACAGTTTCATTAAAGCATATAGTGTATACTCGAAAAGCATTTATCTCCTTAAAATAACCCACTAAGGAAGAGATCTGGTGGTCCAAAGATTTCTTAAACCGTGGTCTAAGTTCAGTGTAAGTTAGACATCGTTTAAATATCCGACCCTTCTAGACTGGGACTCAAGATTTTTCACAAGATGTGTCCTAGGACTCATCACCTCTTTTTCTAACAAAATCACTGTGCATCGTCGTTTGATTTTTACTTGAACATACAACAAAATCTCAAGAGCAAATCGCTCTGATTTTTACATCACATAGACGTTTATACACGATAAACGCCATCTACGCGCTTACAAACTGACTTTGGGGCCGGATGAAAGCGTTAATATTGACTTCCAAAGCACAGTGTTTGGAAACCAATTATGTGACCACCTGTTCCATCCCTTCGGAGAAAGTTACCCGCCATTTAAAGCGAACACTGCATGAGAATATCTTTTCTTACTATGTATAAAGTGCTCAAGACGCCTAAATGCCAACAATTCTTGCGTAAAAAACAAAACCAGTTCAACAATATTCTTAAATGCCACGTTAAACGTGAAAGCTGCAGATCATTTGATGTCGTCATAATGACAATTTTCATTCAAAGCAATTGTCATTCAAGAAGGGGATTTTAATTCCAGTTGAACCTATAATTAAAGTGACGGCGTACAGTTTGAATACAGAGGAAGCAGAGGGCCATTCGTACAATGCTCCTGATGATAAGAGATTAAAAAAACTAACCTTTTTAAAATGAAGAATAACTTGCAAAGCAAACACTTTGTAAAGAAATACAAAGATTATTTGCCTAGTTTGTATTATAAATAAATTTTGTGATCTTGTGTTAAAGATTGGCTATGCATGCTGTACCGAGGAGCTGTTATTTATACAATAACAGCGAAACAGCTGTTAACGCTGCCAACACTGCTTTATGGGAAAGCCAAAAACACTAAAAGTCACAGGCACAAATAAACAGACACATTACAGAAAAATAGATTTCAACTCCCCAAAGTCCCCTTCAGTGGGTTTCCGAGTCATTCCGACAGATTGATTCGTCACTGTCCAGACCATTTTCCAGATTTTAACTTGGAAAGTTTAAAGTTGTTTACTGAAAATATATTTATTATGAAAAATCTGACCGATTTCTGTAAAACGGTGAAACCGATATGGGATCCGCGCCTGGAAATCAACAGAGTAGTCAAGCAACAGCCGTGGACAGCTGCTTTGCACTTATTAAAATTCATCAGCACAACCTAGCTGAAAGCTTTTACAAAACAGATCTACTCAGCCACTAATGACAAGCAATGAAACAAGGCCAATTATGCAAACAATTTTCATTCTTCCCTCTGAACGATTTCTGTAAAACGGTAAACTGGTATGGATCGAGGCCTAGAAATTAACAGAGTAGTCAAGCAACAGCCGTGGACAGCTGCTTTGCACTTATTAAAACTCATCAGTACAACCTAGCTGGAAGCTGTTACAAAACGGATCTAATCAGCCACAATATGTACAAATGACAAGCAATGAAACAAAGCTAATTATGCTACCAATTTCATTCTACTTTTATTTCAAGTACCGTAATATTTTTGGAATTGAATCGCTTTTACTATTTTCAAGTTGTCAATGTTACCTTCAAATTTTCACAAATTTTGAATAACTTTTTGGTGAGCGCTCTATAGAGAACACAGATGATTTATCACTAATTTTGCCAAAAATTGAGAACTTAGTAGACCTCTATGATTGTCAAACCGTCGCCTTTGTTGTTCTGTCAGTTGGCCACTTATGTAAATTATCTATTTTATCTTTTTTTTACATTTACTCAAAGTCATTTGCAGTAAAATAACCATCATCACTGAACCTCGTAGGTCGCTACAAGTCTGTTTCTCATGCGACACTAAATAAAGAGTTTGCATTGACCAAGAGATGACAAATCAGACAAATAAATTTTCAACCATCACTCACGCGGACGATATGTCCTTTACTTCGGTACAAGTCATCGCTTGGAGTTGTGCTCTTGCGACTGAAGCTGTTGTTATTTTCGTGGGAAACTTGCTCACAATTATACTGTTTGTACTTAACAAGAAACTGCGATCTAAGAAAAGTTTATATCTTGTTTTGAACATGGCATTTGCTGATCTGTTTCTGGGAGGTGTATGTCTCCCTATGAATGTTTATTTCCTGGCTTATGGTCAAGTTAAATTTGACGAAAAAACTCCAACCTTTCTTACAATTGTTTTCTACGTTTTCGCACAAGCATCATTCATTACCGCTGCTTTGATATCTTGTGAGAGATTTTACGCCATCTATTGGCCGCTGAAGCACCGGCAGACACTTTCTACGCGAACATACGGGCTCGTTATTTTGACAGTTTGGACATTAAGTGTCTTGGCTTCTCTTTTTAAAGATTTTCTCGTGCAATTCTTACGCCTGGTGGCTCTGAATTCTGTACTGTGTTTAACCTTCGTGTCTGTACTTCTAATCATCAGCGGCCTCAATTTTGGTGTTTGGAGAAAGATTCAGCAACAAACTGTTCCTCATAACCAACTTAGAGCCTTACAAAGACGACGCTTAACGAAGACTTTGTTATTAGTATCTCTCCTCGCCTTAGGTTCTTGGCTTCCAGTTTCTGTTTACAATTTGATAGCCTTTCTTGGATATAGGATGTCTAATAATATTTCTGTCATAACGTACTTCATCTATTTCTCGAACTCGTTTATCAATCCAATACTGTACGCACTAAGAATTCCTGATTTCAAAGAGGCTCTCAGTTTGTGCTGTTTTACAAGACACGAAGTGATGAGCAGCCAAGAAAATGCAGCAAGGGATGAGATGGCTGCACATTTGACGCTAGTGATACAGAGACGAACATTGACAATGGATCGCAATAATTTAAAGCTCACTTTTGAACAGGAAAATGTAGAAGATACAAAATTGTTATATACAACGGAAGAGCAACAATAAATGGTACAAAAAGGATCATGGATAGTCAGGGCGTGGTCCGCAGAAAACATAGCGGTGCCGAATTCATTGTATGACTGAATACTGCCTAAATGGAACTTCAGCTTTGCGATCCATTTTACCTTGAAGAATTTAATCAATGTTTAGCTCCTTTCCTTTCCCCGTCTGTTGGGTAGGCGAAAGTCGATGTACATGTATAAACATGGCTTTACCGCTTACAAACATACCAAAAAGGGTGTTTTATTCGTTAATGACAAATGAAAGAATATTTTTGGTTGTACAGACAAAGTCAAAAGCTAAACTAGAAGTTTCAGAGGGGCGGAAGAGACGAATCGAACCAATATACTCTTTGGGGGGAGGAGGGGAGGGTTATTTGCATCATCATTTTCAGTTACATCCAGTGATTTTGCTACTTCTTCGTCCTGCGTCCCTGACGCATAAAAATCTCTTAAAAAATAATTGGAAGCCTCCCGTAGGACACAAAGATCGATCGATCGATCTGAAGATGTCTTTGCAGAAAATGCAGTTCGTGTGATTTCCGTGGCTGTCGTTTAACGATGCATATTTCTTTTAGTCCCCTCATTTTTGTTGTTTAAATAGAAGGACTTCTATTTTAATTACAGTAAACTGTTATAAAGAGTTTTGGAGTCTGTCTTCAAATTCAGTAACTGCCGGGTTACATCGGACCAAAGCATTTTCACTTTAGAACTCGTTGGTTTTTGACCCAGTGGGACTTATTGAGCTGGTTATTTAGACGTATAGTAGTTTAACCATGCGGTGTTTACTGAACAAAACCGCGTTCTCAGTCAATTTCAGTTCACCCAACGCTGTTATCTAAACACCATTTGTATAGTGAACAGTTTCATTAAAGCATATAGTGTATTCTAGAAAGCATTTATCTTCTTAAAATAACCCACAAATGAAGAGATCTGGTGGTCAGGTGGTGACTACGTTTAAATATCCGACCCACTGGTTCTACACTGGGACTTAAGATTACTCTCAAGATGAGTCCTAGGACTCATCACGACTTTTTCTAACAAAATCACTGTGCATTATCGTTTGATTTTTACTTGCAGATACAACAAAATCAAGAGCAAATCGCTCTGATTTTTACATCAAATAGACGTTTTACAGGATACACGCTATCTTTCCACGCGCGTACAGACTAATTGGATGAAAGCTTAGTATTGACTTTCAAAGCACAGTTTTTGGAAACCAATTATGTGACCACCTGTTCCATCCCTTCGGAGAAAGTCACCGGCCATTTTAAGCGAACACTGCATGAGCATATCTTTTATTAGTGCATGTATAAAGTGCTCAAGACGCCTGAATTCCAACAATTCTTGCTTTAAACAGGGGCACCCAACGAGGATATAGTTCAAAACCACTTAACATAGCATTGTTGAACGTATTTTAGTATTTTAACGGTAGATATAGGCATATTTTTATCCCCTACAAACTTTTCATCTGTTCGGATTTCTTAGATGAAAGTCTAGTGATCCGAAAATTATAGGGATCAAAACTTAGCTTTTCGAAAATTTCAGCCAGGAAAAGGCTCCCGAAAATTCTAGGTGGCCTTTTTTAGGGTAAATATCCGTTTAAAATGGGTAATTATACCATTTTGTAGATGTTCGAAAATCCTAGGAGAAGCAGGCAAGCAAGAAATTTTACAACAAATGTTCCGAAAATTCTAGTTCTCAAATCGTCTTCTGAACAGATATTTTCCCGAAAATCGCCCTTGGGTGCCCCTCTTTAAAAACAATACCAGTGTCAACAATATTCTTAAAAGCCGTGTGAAACGTGAAAGCGAAAGACCATTCGATGTCATCATAATGACAATTTTCATTCAAAAGTTGGATAGCGCTATCCACCGGATAAATCGCTATCCAGTGGATAAGTATTACAAAAACTAATAGCGTTATTCACTGGATAGTGATTTATCCATTGGATAGCGCTATCCACCTTTTTAACAACTAAGGACTGGAAATCAACAGAGTAGTCAAGCAACAGCTGTTGACAGCTGCTTTGTCCTTATTAAAACTCCTCTGTGCAATTCTGGCTCGAAGCTTTTACAAACAGATCTAATCAGCCACAATATGTGCAAATGACAAGCAATGAAACAAAGCTAATTATGCTACCAATTTTCATTCTATTTTTAATTCAAGTATAGTAATATTTTTGGAATTCATTCTTTTTTACTATTTCAAAGTTGTAAATAAGTTGCCTTCAAATTTTCAAACAATTTTGAATATTTTTTTGGCGAGCGCTCTATATAGAGAAAACAGGTCATTTATTAATTTTTTGCCGAAAATCGTGTTTCGCGGGCAACGAGCAAATCTATGGACTGTGTGTATTGACATTTAGAACGAATTCCATTTTGTCCGGAAAGCAAGTGTCATTTAAACTCTTACAAAACGCGATGCACTATTACAGGGCTAGCCTGACACACTTTTGTTATAAGACTTTATAGACCGCTATGATTGTCAAACTGTCGCGTTTGTTGTTCTGTCAGCAGGCCATCATGTAAGTTATCCGCTTTATCCATTTTTACATTTACTCAAAGTCACTGGCAGAAAAATAACCATCATCACTGAACCTCGAAGGTCGCTACAAGTCTGTTTCTCATGCAACACTAAATAAAGAGTCTACATCGACCAAGAGATGACAAATCAACCAAATAAATCAACCATCACTCACCCGGACGATATGTCCTTTACTTCGGTACAAGTCATCGCTTGGAGTTGTGCTCTTGCGACGGAAGCTGTAGTTATTGTCGTGGGAAACTTGCTAACAATTGTACTCTTTGCATTTAACAAGAAACTGCGATCTAAGAAAAGTTTGTATCTTGTTTTGAATATGGCATTTGCTGATCTGTTTCTGGGAGGTGTATGTCTCCCTATGTATGTTCACTTCCTTGCCGGACTACCGCTTCATGGTCAGGTTAAACTTGATGAAAAAACTCCAACGATTTTCAGAAGTATTTTCTTCGTTTTCGCACAGGCATCATTCATTACCGCTGCTTTGATATCTTTTGAGAGATTTTACGCCATCTATTGGCCGCTGAAACACCGGCAGAGACTTTCTACGCGAGCATACAGGCTCGTTATTTTGACGGTGTGGACATCAAGTATCCTTGGTTCTCTTTCTATAGTTTTTCTTCTGCAATTCTTAAGCCTGGGGGCTCTGAATTCTTTACGGTGTTTAATCTTCGTGTTTGCAATTCTAATCATCAGCGGCCTCAATTTTGGTGTTTGGAGAAAGATTCAGCAAAAACCTTTTCCTCATCACCAAAACAGAATCTTGCAAAGACGACGCTTAACGAAGACGTTGTTATTAGTATCTCTCATCGCCTTGGGTTCTTGGGTTCCAACTATTGTTTATCACTTGATAGCCTTTCTTGGATATAGAATATCGAACAACGTTTTCCTCATGACGTGCTTTGCCTTTTACTTTAACTCGTTTATCAATCCAATAGTGTACGCACTAAGAATTCCTGCTTTTAAAGAGGCTCTGAGTTTATGCTGTTTTACAAATCACGAAGCGATGAGCAGCAAAGAAAATTCAGGAAGGGATGACATGGCGGCAGATTTGTCAGTGGATCACAATAATTTACAGCTCACTTTTGAACGGGAAATTGTAAAAGATACAAAATTGTGATATACAACGGAAGAGCAACAAATGGTAAAAATGGATCATGTATTGTCAGGGCGTGGCCCCCAGAAAACAATATGGTGCCGAATTCATTTGATAACTGAATAATGCTTGAAGCGAACTTCAGCTAACCTTTGTGATCCATTTTGCCTCGAACAATTTAATCATTTTTTGTCGCCTCCCCTTTTCCCGTCTGTTAACTAGGCGATAGATTGAATCGATGTGCATGTATAAACATGGCTTAAACACTTACAGACATACCAAAAAGCTTATTCGTTGAGGATAAATGAAAGAATATTGCTGGTTGTGCAGACAACCAGTGATGATGACAACGATTGAAAAAATGTGACAATGGATAAACCACCCAACGAGAGTCACTGCACATTCCGAATGGGAGTAGGATCTTAGAAGGCATATAAGTCTAAAGCTAAACGGAAGTTTCAGGGGGGTGGGAAAGAGGGATGGGGCCAATAAACCCTTTTCGGGGGTTTTATGGATTTACATCATCATTTTCAGTTACATCCAGTGATTTTGTTACCTTTGCGTCCTGCCCCGACGCATAATAATCCCCAAAGACGTCAAATAATTCAATGGATGCGTCCCGTAGGACGCAAAGATCGATAGATCGTTATGAAGATGTCTTAGTAGAAAATCCTGTTCGTGTGATTTCAGTGGCTATTAATGTGGCTGTTGTTTAACGATGCACATTTTAGTCCCCTCATTTTTTTTTGTTTTTTTTTCATTTTTGGTGAGATTTCGGAACTATTTGGTTTGTTCTTGTATTTTCCACCCCAAAAGTGGCGGCCCTGCCAGGACTTGTAGACTTGCTTGAAACTATCTTGCACTGAGGAACACTGACATTGACTGGGAGATAAAGATTATTAACGGCAAAGCATGTTGGATCTTGCGGAAGAAAATTACAAGAAGGCATTGAAATAGGCAACCTACTATAGTTAAAGAAATTGAGGAAAAACAACACTTTGTAGTGACAGAGGATTTACGTTTGGCTTACGAGAGAATATTTAACATGAACAAAGCACTCGAGGATTCCGCGAACGGTGTTAAAATACGCCATGTTGGATGCTGAGACTAGTTTTTGACGAGATAAGAAAGTGGTCAGACACCCATAAACAAGATTTCATTCCTGTACGAATCCTAAGAGATAAACCGAAGGAGGCGTTGAGCGATTTAGAGAAACAAGAATTACATAAGAAAGAAGAAGATTGGTTTAACAAAAAGTTTGAGCTAGAACTTGCCTTAGATGCAAAAAAGGCTGCACAGGAAATGAGTAAACGACATTTAATGAGGATTACAAAGATTGGCTCAGATTTTGGAATCAGTTCGTAGTAGAAGTTGGTAACTCTAAAGTTTCTGAGATAAGCAAATTTGATTATTTGCTTGGGCTGGTAGAGGGGAAACCAAGAAGTCACGTTCTTGGCTTACCGCACAAAGTTGAAGGCTATGAAAAGCGAAAAGGGTCCTAGAAATTACTTACGGTAAAAACATTAAGGTTCTCAAGGAATTAATTAAGGATTTGGACACAATTCCAAACATTACAAGCCTCACTAAAGTAAAAGAGATTCATGAGTTTTACAAGCAGCTGTCTAGAACTGTGAGAGCCATAAACACAATGAAGAAATTGCAAAGTGCACAAAGCCATGTTTACAGCATTATGGACAAGCTCGGACCAGTGACAGAAGCTTTAGTACAAAAGTATGATGATTGGGAGGAGTGGGGGTTAGAGGAACTTGTAGAAAGCCTACGTAAGTACACTGACAGAAATCCTTTACCTGAAACGTCTTCCCGGAACCACGATTTCAAGAAACCTGTGGGATAGAATCAAGGAAATCCGTGGAGAAGAAGTGAATAAATGCTCATGTCATTGATGCTTTTGTAATAGCGTAGCAATGTGTCAATGCTAATAAGCCTGTTTTAACCTACCTGCCTAACCCAAAAATCTCTGAACTGAAGAAACTGAATCATCGCATCAGGAAGCCAGTATTTAGTGAGGAGCAAGTAACTGCTGAGAAATTACCGGTACACATAATCCTTGGAGCAGCTGATATTTAACGAATCAAGTCAACTGAACCCCCAGTTCTAGGTCTTAACTCAGACACCGATACCGGAGCAGAGTTCACCACGTTGGGAAGGGTCATTGCTGAGGCAGAAAAGATGTTCTTCATAAACTCTAGTCAAAATGAATTTGCGCAGATGTGTTCTCAGGAAGTGCTTGGCCTGAAAGATTTGGAGAATGTATATGATACCTTCCATGAACATTTCATAGATCAGCTACAGCGATTGGAGGATGGCACCTACTGCACAACGTTGCCTTGGAAACCTGATCATGCCTCTTTACTTTCAATCAAGGAACTGACAGTTGGGAGATTAAGAAGTATCACACGAAAACTGGAGAGGATGAAGAGACTTGAGGAGTATCACACTGTTATGGAGCAGCAGTCAGAAGAAGGATCATAGAGGTGGAGCTAGCAATACCCACTGGAGAAGCCAAACATTACATTCCTCACCAACCAGTAATCAGAGACCAGGCAAAGTCTACAAAGATGACGATAGTGTATGATTGCTCAGCTAAGGCCAATTCTCGAGTGTCTTTGAATGACTGTTTGGAAGTTGGACCCCCTCTGCAGCCTATGATTTTTTACATTCTGCAACGAAACCGTCTGAGGTTGATGTGTATTACCGGGGACATCCAAAAGGCTTTTCTTCAGATTAAAAAGGACCCAAAGGATAGAGATGCCCTTCGTCTCTTATGGTACGAGAACCTTGACTCAAGGACAGTTACAGAGCATCGATACACCAGAGTGATTTTCGGGTCAGGACCTAGTCCTTACATTCTCAGGGTGACACTATGTGAGCAAGTATACTGAAACGCTTCCTGATACGACTGAAGAGTTGCTGAACAACACTTATGTGGATGATGTCCAATTAGGCGGAAATCACAGCGATCAGTCGATTAAATTAAAGAAGAGGCCAGAAAGATTATGGAGGAAGGAGGTTTTTATCTCTCAGAGTAACCTACCAGAGTTGGAAGAACGTCAGAGACAAGTCCCAAGGAAGATCTTAACACAATTGGCAAAGAGAAAGTGCCAAGGCAGATGAAATTCTTACAAAGAAGTAAGAAACAGCTCCGAAGGTTTTTAAAAGAGTATGTCCACACCTTTGGGGAGCGAGAGTCTAATTCCATCGCACACAATTCAAAAATTCCAGACACAGAAGCAGTGATGTTGTTGAAAGTGAAGTGAAGGATAAAGCACTGTGGAAGCTTGGACGAGTGATGGACAAGATTATTAGCAAGGACAGAGTTGTTCGTGGATTGAAGCTGAGGCAAGGAAATGGATATATTGTCGAGCATCCCCTGCAACTTGTGTGTAACTTGGAAACTGGAGGAGAGAATCCTGATTATAAGCTTAACCCTGAAGCAGAAGTGTTCGTACCAAGAGTGAGGCCAAGCAGAAGGACCAAACAGATTGCCAATAAGCTGTTCAAAGACTGCTGCACAAGAAGTTGAAGACGGTGAATGGCATTTAAGCTGATAAACGCTTAAATGGGGGGAGGGTGTTGAGAACGTTTTGAACCATTCATGACTGTTATAGGAAGTCTATTTGCCTATCCTCGTTTTGAGTAGTACCGTTACTCACACCTCGTGGTTTTCGACTGCTTTCCTGAAAAAACTTGTTGTTTGGTTTGACGTTTTCGTCATTACTTGTACTTGAGGATAGGATTATCCACATTAAAAGTGCTGAGATTTCGAAACTATTTGGCGTGTTCTTAATTTTCCACATGAAAGCGTTTGGTACATACGAATTTAACGTATTGTTGAAGTTTTCACAAGAACAGATTTACCAGCAGATTAAAGAAGATATTCTCGGAGGTTGACTTCAAATGAAATAAAAACCGATCCAAACAAGATACCGCATGACCCTTGGATTGATGACGTGATGACGTAAATTGTTTAGTAACACTTTGAAAACAAAAGCTGTTGATGTGGAATAAATTGGAAAATACAAAGACCAGAAAGCTTACTCGTATTGGATGAGTGGCTTTGAGGACACAATCTTGTTTACAAAATGCCCCGTTGACAGCAAGTTTTGTTTTGTTTTGAAAAGGCTGAGTGCCACATTCACAAAAAATTCGCAATGACCCGCACAAGGCCTGTGTATGTTTAGAGGGCACAAAGAATGACGGTAAAATTGTGACTTAATGGTGTACATTTACAGCTGGTACTGCTGACGTCTGCAGCCATCTAGTCACTTTGATGTACAAAGTCAACTTTGCATACAAGAAAGCATACATCTCTTCCGCATGCACAAGACAGTGTGTTGCACAGGGATGGAATAAAGGGACAAAAAAGGATGTAGAGCCAAACCAGATTAAGATCTTTGTCTTTCGTAAAGACAAAAGGACACAAGAGGACAGTGCCAGAGATCATCGGGACAATTTAAATGTCAAGAACCAGTTTAACCCAAGGAGACCGCAGGATAGGCAGCTGACCAATGAGAGGGTATCATCCCTGATCAATCACATTCTTCAAAACATTCCATCAACTTGTGCACTTTACTCCATAGAGCACACAAAAGATGACAGTCTCCCTGAACTCCTCCCTCAGAAAGCTCTTAGTTTCATGTCATCTGAACAAATGAAAGGGAATTTGTTGAAGCCAAGTGTTCTTACACTGAACGAAATGAAAATATTTATGTCAAGGACACATTCGACCGAGTCGACTTCCTTGAAGATTTCCATTGAAAACCCCGCTTGAAACGCTCCCACAAGTATTATACCCAAACACAAGAACAAATGTGGGTTTGTGGTGTCTGTCATGGGTTTTTCATTGGTTGGACAAAGGGCGGCCCCCCTTTCTATGTTCTTTGAGCGAGTTGAACTTGACATGGAATTTTGTCCCGTGAACAATATTATATTGTTTTACAAGTCATTTGTATTGCCATGCCTGTTGGGGTACAGAGAAATTTTTTAATTGCCCAAAGTCCAAAGAAGTGATTTTAGACTAGGATGAAATAAGCGGCTCTGCAAAGTAGAACAGTATTTGCTGTGACACTTGCAGCGCTCGGTGGCGTTTGCCATGTGCTGATCTCACCATAAGTATTGCAGATGCACTGGATTATTGGGTTTGCTAGAGCTGCCTGGTAGATGCAGCAAATGCAATTGACAGTGATGATGATGACTTTGGGTTCACCTTTGCTCAAGAATCCATTGATGTGAATCATGTTTGTGCTGTTTGTTCAGTGAAACCACGAAACGAATTTAAACAGCCTGAAAAAACTATGGAAGGATGAATGCCATAAGAAAAAAGAGATGTCCGACACAAATGTGTCCACGAAATAAAGGTCTAGAGAAGAAACCTGAAACTAACAAGTCCAAAGATAAATGTGGTAGGTGTGGTTATGATAAGACCCACAAGAAAAGTCTAGCAGTGGGACAACAGTGTGGACTCTGTAAGACGATGAATCATTATGCAAANGATGACAGTCTCCCTGAACTCCTCCCTCAGAAAGCTCTTAGTTTCATGTCATCTGAAGAAATGAAAGGGAATTTGTTGAAGCCAAGTGTTCTTACACTGAACGAAATGAAAATATTTATGTCAAGGACACATTCGACCGAGTCGACTTCCTTGAAGATTTCCATTGAAAACCCCGCTTGAAACGCTCCCACAAGTATTATACCCAAACACAAGAACAAATGTGGGTTTGTGGTGTCTGTCATGGGTTTTTCATTGGTTGGACAAAGGGCGGCCCCCCTTTCTATGTTCTATGAGCGAGTTGAACTTGACATGGAATTTTGTCCCGTGAACAATATAACATTGTTTTACAAGTCATTTGTATTGCCATGCCTGTTGGGGTACACAGAAATTTTTTAATTGCCCAAAGTACAAAGAAATGATTTTAGACTAGGATGAAATAAGCGGCTCTGCAAAGGACAGTATTTGCTGTGACACTTGCAGCGCTCGGTCGCGTTTGCCACGTGCTGATCTCACCATAAGTATTGCAGATGCACTGGATTATTGGGTTTGCTAGAGCTGCCTGATAGATGCAGCAAATGCAATTGACGGTGATGATGATGACTTTGGGTTCACCTTTGCTCAAGAATCCATTGATGTGAATCATGTTTGTGCTGTTTGTTCAGTGAAACCACGAAACGAATTTAAACAGCCTGAAAAAACTATGGAAGGATGAATGCCATAAGAAAAAAGAGATGTCCGACACAAATGTGTCCACGAAATAAAGGTCTAGAGAAGAAACCTGAAACTAACAAGTCCAAAGATAAATGTGGTAGGTGTGGTTATGATAAGACCCACAAGAAAAGTCTAGCAGTGGGACAACAGTGTGGACTCTGTAAGACGATGAATCATTATGCAAAGTTCTGCAGATCAAAAGAAGTCCACAATCTTAAAGACGTAGAGGACTCTGGTCCAGAAGAAGAAGAAAGTGAGAAGGAATTACCCCTCTTTGTGTTCTCATTGGAATCAAGCAGTGTGAAGGAAGATGAGCAGTTCTATGAAACTGCTGAAATAGAAGGTGCTCAGGTAAGATTTCAGCTGCATAGTGGTGCAAAAGCAAATGACATGTCAGCAAAGGTCTACAGCAACCTCAGACGTGGATCCCCACCACCCCTGAAAAGACAAGCACAGCATTNCACGAAATAAAGGTCTAGAGAAGAAACCTGAAACTAACAAGTCCAAAGATAAATGTGGTAGGTGTGGTTATGATAAGATCCACAAGAAAAGTCTAGCAGTGGGACTACAGTGTGGACTCTGTAAGACGATGAATCATTATGCAAAGTTCTGCAGAACAAAGGAAGTCCACAATCCTAAAGACGTAGAGGACTCTGGTCCAGAAGAAGAAGAAAGTGAGAAGGAGTTACCCCTCTTTGTGTTCCATTGGAATCAAGCAGTGTGAAGGAAGATGAGCAGTTCTATGAAATTGCTGAAATAGAAGGTGCTCAGGTAAGATTTCAGCTGCATAGTGGTGCAAAAGCAAATGACATGTCAGCAAAGGTCTACAGCAACCTCAGACGTGGATCCCCACCACCCCTGAAAAGACAAGCACAGCATTGACTTCCTTTTCCAAGCACAAACTGAAACCTAACGGCGAAGTTGTGTTGACTACGAGATACAAAGATCAGGTGGAAGACGTACGATTTTTCGTCGTGTCTGGGGTTGAATCGGTGCTTAATGGACAAAAATGCATTAAACTTGGCTTTCTGAAGAAAGTACATCAACTCACAAGCAAGAAACCTGGCGCAAAGGTGGAGCTGGATGATTTCCCAGAGCTCTCCACGGGATTGGGATGTATGCCTGGCACTCATCACATACAACTGGCCAACACTTTCAGCATTTTAGACACCAAGAGTTAACCTGAGATCAGGCTCTATTTTCGTTCCGCTTTGTAAATAACATTCTGGCGGGAAAGGTGACACGAAAAGAGAGCCTCATACAAGCCTTCTACAAAACGTCCTCCGTCCACTTCTTTGATTGACGTTTGCCAAATCAGCCCAAATTTTTCACACGTGGGAAAAATGCAGATTTGCTACTTAAAAGAAGCTTTTATATTTTTTCAACTAAATATAAAACAGTCAGCACAGTCACATTTACCTTCTTGCGAGATTAAAGGAGATCTTGCTGGTTTTTTGTGTTAGCATAGAAGGTAAAAAGTTTTCAAAACGACAATGTTCTCGTTTGAATATTTGTTTCTTATCTTAAAGGGGAGGATGTGATATTGAATGTATTGCGAGATAGACATTTCCCTCCCTAGCCATTTATTTGTTGTGTCACATGACTTACCTGGGAATAAACATGCTTTCACTGTCAGCCATCCTGACTAGTTTATTATCTTACAATATTCACTCCAGAGAGTGGCTGCCAAATCAAGTCCACTTGGAGTTTCTGTGAAGTATTCAAAGCAGTCAATAATGCATCTGACTTTGGGACATATCTTTCTGAAACAAAATGGAAGAGTCTTCTTGACCTGTTGTCAACTTGGCCACACAATTAAGACTGACAGTTCCTTTGACATAAGCTTAATCCAAGTGATAGAAATGCTACTGACAATGCTTGCTAACACATGGAATCTGAACCCCAAATCAATAGTTAAAAGAACTAGTCTAAGTTTCAATGGAGTCAACAAAAACTCCTGCTTGAGGTTAAGCTTCCTTTAAGTCCCAGGTCTTCCTTTAGCAAAACCAGTTGCCAACTCGAAAGGAGAGGGAGGTTGAGGTGCTTCTTTCGTCGTCTGCTTTTTACCCAGTATAGAGTATAGACCGTACCTTTCCCTCAGATAATCGAATAAAAACTGGAATGTTTCAGGTGAGGACAAACCTCCTGTGTACACCCTCTTTAAAATGCCAGTTCTTTTGTTAGCTGTTCAAACTGCATAGGAATTTAAACGGAGTAGTCCATATCGATTTCCATTTCTTCATCAGTTTCCTCACTATCATAATTTCACTCTTCGAGGTTGAGGAACAAGCACCTTAAAGGACCAGCTTCTTGCAACTTGTTCGCCTTTCTTTTCTTAGGCAACTTTTTTCGGGAGGTAATTGGAGACAGTCATAAAAATCGACAGATAATCCGTCTAAGGGTTTTCAGGGGTTCTTCTTCCCAGAGGAAAATGATTTGAACAGATGAAAGTACCACTAACACCAGGGGAAGGATTGAATACATCACATCATGTCTTCACTACTTGCATTCACCATATTTCGGCGAGTTTTGGATTGACAAGCCAACTGTGAAACAATAAATTGCTCACATGGGATCTAACATACTGTAAGCATGATCAGCATATCTTTTGTCATTATTGCAAAATCATACCGCACAACGAGCGTGTTTTGGCTTAACAGATTATTCAGCTATGTTACCATTTGCCTGGCCACACGCTCGCCCCAATAGTTTTGCATCCATGGCAAAATTGCGCCATTAACCTTTAAAGGGTCTATTTTATCATCTGTTTTCCTCCTGAAATAACACGTGGCCTCGCTTTTATCCCATCAATTCTAAAGAGCATGCAAAGATGGAGAGCAGCGTGAATGAGGTCTATTCTGCTCATCATTTTCATCGATATGCATGCATGTATGATATGCATATCACGTGTGATGATAATTATTTACACTTTTGACAGCTTGTTCAAATGAAGTTAGCTAGTATCTAGGGCTATAGCAAGATATAAAAAAGATTAAAAATAGTAACTCCAATTTGTAAAACTCTACAAGTACAAACTGCATAATTATTCTGATTGGCTTGTACACCTCCAACAGCTAACAGAGAGAAGCTGAGTTATATGCCAATAAAATGCAAAGTGTACTTGTTGAGAAAATATGCCCAAAAAACATCTTATATTATTTTAGAACAGAATACTGGCAAGGTTTTAATAAACAACAATATAAGACAATCACACTCCCTACAGCTGTATGATCTATGTCATCTGTTTGTTGACTCAGGGCTCTGCCTCTTGATACAAACCACAATAGTTTTCAGATAAAAATGACATCTTTATAGCATGTATTGTCACACATGTATCCAACAGCAAAAGGTTTTTTCACGTTTTAGCTACCGGTAACTAAAAAAGACGTCCCTGCTTGATCAAAAAGTATAACTGCAAACTTTATGCAAGTTCTCAACTGCAGATTACTGGCCTATGTGCCTTAAACTAGAACAAGAAAGGAAAGGAGTTTGCAAATGCATGCAAGACAAGGTGGTTATGACAGAATCCTGCTCCTTTTAGGTAACTCAAAATCTCCTTTTTTTGCCCTGCCTGGTACATGAATGCTAGCTCTAAGTTTTTCCCAGATTGGAAGAAAAAATGATGCTACAAAATAACCAGAGCGAGCAGCAAAGTAAAGTTGATTGCAAGAGGAAAATGCAATGATTTGTACAATGTTGCTTTCAAAAGACTGTTTGCATTCTCAAACAATGAAATATGATTACTGGTAATATCCTGTAAAAACGTCACTACTTATATTTCTAGTGGCATCAGCAAAGTAAAAAAAGGAAAGAAAACATGTCTCACGTGGCAATGAAGAACAGCTAATCGTTAAATAAAAATAGAACTAGTATCTTCTTGTATCCCGTCTTCGTCCCGACCTAGACAAACAAAAACAAAAATGTTCAAGAGCGAGACAGGAGAAACAGAATTCCCTTTTTAGGGGGGATAGGACAGCTTTCAAATACAGGCAGGGCAGTGTTTGCTGACCACGATTTATTATAAAAGACTTCAACCAGCATTCAAAGAAAGTAGTGTCCGATAGTTTGGGGCTAGTGAAATTTTGCTATTGGGCAAGTGAATTTTGTTCTCAACTAGCCCGACGGGTAAGTAAAGTTTTTTGCGAAATTGAAATTAAAGAAGAACTGTGAAACCAATACTGTTCATAGAAAAGTTTTCAGTTGCAGCTACTTCAAATGACGTTTGGGCTAGTAATTGCTAGCTTCAGCTTGCCCAAATGGCAAGCTGTAAAACTGACTTTCTTTGCTCCCTGCTTCAACTAACTAACTTTTCAACAAAAGAAGTTGAGTTAATTACCCAGCGGTTTTCTGTGGTCCTTTTACAAATGCCCAGTCCACAGAAATCTTCTGCCCAAGGAGATCTGCCCCATTAAGAGCATCCATTGCCGCCTGTGCTTCCTTGTATGTTTCGTATTCCACAAGTGCATAACCCTGTAAAGTACATGTAGGAATTTTTTAATCATTACTTCAAAACAGTCTATATTTCTAGTTTGTTTATTGATATAAACAAGACATAACCTTGTGCATGCATTGATGTATGATCTTTCAGTTCAAGATGGCTGCCGTTCAGCGAAACGAATGCACCATAGGTTTGAACATATTCTTATTTTCTAAGCAATACCTTGCGAGAAAACACAGAAATAAATACACCAGATAATGTTTCATCAGCTTTATTGAGTGATTTTGCCTTCGAAATACCGTAAAATTCCGAAAATAAGACCCTTCATGAATAAGCCCCTCCAAATATAAGCCCCCCAAACTCGTAACGCAAAAAACCCTCCGTTAATTCGCCCCTCCAAATATAAGCCCCGCGGAGGCTTGTACTTGGGAAATTGCCCTCAAATACAAGGTAAAACAAAGCAAAACAGTAAATATTATTTACTTCCAACTATAAGGCTAGCCCAATCGATTTCAAAAAAATTAATGCAAATTTCCCTCCGCAGATAAGCCCCTCCGAATACAATCCCCTCCAAAAATAAGCCCCTCAAAAATGGGCCTTTGAATTTTACGGTACCTTGCTTAAGATGCCAATGTAAGCTTCCATTCCGTTTAATCTTTAGTATTAAAGCCAGGCGGCAACAATTTTCCGGTAAATTAAGCCAGGCAGAGAACACTGGGAGAACACTGCTTTTACAAATACGTAAATAATGATTTGGAAGTAGTACATCCACAAAGTCATTCTTTGTCTACCTGATTCCTGATCAAATTGGAATTTGGAAATGTTGATTTTTGAGGAGAAGGGAAAACCGGAGTACCTAGAGAAAAACGTCTCAGAGCAAAGGAGAAAACCAGCAGCAAACTCAACCCACAAAATAGCATCATCGCCAGGATTTGGACCCAGGCCACATTGGTGGGAGGCAAGTGCTCTCACCACTGCGCCATCCAATGCTCCTTTATATGGTTACCATGAAACTCAAAAAACCATTGACACAACAAATGCAGTGACATTTTAAACAACAATAGAGTCACCCAAGGGACAGAGCCAGATATCACAGTCATAGTCAGAGGTGACTCATTCTGATCCAAGAGCGGCAATCCTTTTGACCAGCAAAACACATCAGGAGCTGGGACCAGTTGCAGGAAAGCTCACAAGCATGATTGCTGCCATGTTTGTAACCACTGGAAATAGTTATAATGATATTTAAAATATCAGAGGCTGCACAGAAACCTGGAAATCAGCAACTCATGCACTTCTTATTTGGGAAAGACTTACCTTTAAGAAACCAGTTCTTCTGTCCAGATTAGCATGGAGGTTTTTTATTTCTCCATACTCAGAAAACGAGTCATGTATATCATCTTCTTGGGCTTCTTCGTGTACATTCGTGATAAACAAGATCCACCCTTCAACAGCTGTAATGAGATTGAAAAAGTGTCCAGTGCTTTATATTTATTTAAGCAACTAAGAGTATAGCTGTATCACCTAGCAGACATTTCACGACACGACCACTGGTTTCCTTGTGAAATTATGTCTGAGAAATGGGACCCAGATCTTGGCAATGTCGTGTCATCAGTATGGTATTTCTGCACTCTATTGTCAGACATCACCTCGCGAGGAAACCAGTGATCGATGTTGTCACAAAATGTCAGCTGTTTTCTCAGGCTACATTGCTCACGTACAGCAGCAACATTTTTAGCTTTACAATTTTCTCAGATTGATTTTCTATAATGCTTTAACAGGTTTTTAAAGTTACACAAATAACAGTCATAGCTTTCACAACTTTGTTTTTCTCCCCCTGGGGAAAGTAGCCAGGGATTTGACATCTTGTATTATTAAAATAAGACATTGTGTTACTAGAAAAATGGCTAGGGCTCCCATTTCTACTGGCACGAGAAAAATCCCAGTTCTCTGGGCCTAAATAACAGCCCTGTGTGTTATATATTCTCTAGCATCAAGAATAAGCAGAGTTTCTTGTGGCAAATTTAAAAACTTACATCTAGCTGGGCCTGTTCCACTACTATCATCTGTTTCCATTGATTCATATTGTTCTTTAGAATGGGACAAAGAATCAGCTGAAATATTCAAACAATATTGTCAGGTAGTTTACAATGCAAGCTGCTCTGGTTTCTAAGCATCTTTAGAACAGCAGTAAAATCCTAATTTTTTAAACCCTAAGGACCAGTTATTTCAATGGAGTTTAGCTTGTCCTTAATAAAACTGTATTCTAAACCTGTTTTCAGTTTGCCAAACACTGTTGTTTCTATTCCAAGACTGTCTTGACTTTTTCAGAAATTCGGGCCCATTCCACCATAAATCTGTGCTTGCTAACTCTTCCACTGTCAGGCCTCTTGTTCCAAGGTCGGCGGGGTTCACATCCGTAGGAACATAGCGCCACTGACTAGGAGCAGAGAACTCATGAATTTCTCCAACACGATGGGCTATGAACGGCTTATACTGTCTACTTTGACCTTGGATCCAGTACCCCACATTCATACTGTCCACCCAGTATGTCACTCCATTTGTAGGTATCTTGAGTGCAGAGCAAACTTGTCTTGTTAATCGTAATCAGACTAGAGCACCCAAAAGCTCTAATCTGGGGATGCTCACTGCTTTCAATGGTGCAAGCCTAGACTTCGAAATAATCATTCGAGCGGTAATGTTGCCACCCTCATACACATGACGTGCGTAAACTACAGCTGTGTATGCGTTCTCTGAGGCGTCACTGAATGTATGAATGCTCAGTTCTTCCACCTTAGGACTTGGGTTTTTCAAACACCTTGGGATTTTTACAAATTCAAGGTCTTTCAATTCTCGAAACCACTTTGTCCACTCTCGCTGATGATGTGTTGGCAACAGTTCATCCCAATCCCGTGCCTCCAGCCAAGCCTTTTGTATCAACAACTTGGACCTGATTACATAAGGTGATAAGAAGCCTAATGGGTCGTAAACTGATGCTGTTCGCCTCAAAACATTCCTCTTGGTGAATTCAAATCCATCCAACTGTAATGAGTGTCTAAAGGAAAATTTGTCGTCTGTGGCGGCCCACAGGACACCCAGGGTCTTGGTTGTTGGCAATTCTCTCTTCTCCAAGTCTATCTCGGAAGCAAGATCTTCTTCCACAATGTCAGCAATTACATCCGGTTCATTAGAGATCCATTTGCGGATGTGAAAACCAGCCAAGTCTCCTAATTCGGTTAGCTGCTTTCTTGTATCCTTCGCATCATCCACCGTAGGTGCGGATGGCATCAGATCATCCATGTAACAGTGTTCTAGAACTGCATTAGCTCCCAATGGGTAAGTCTCCTTGTGAAGTCTGGCATGATGTTGCCAAGCAAACTGGACACAAAAAGGGCAATAACACCCTCCAAAAATAAACCTCTTAAACTCATAAACCTTTGGTGTATCCCCACTGTCCAAGTTCCTGTATAAGAATCTGTGCAGAGCCCTGTCCTCTGGTCTAAGAAGTATCTGGTGATACATTTGGCTCACATCACCAGCCAATGCAACTGGCTCTTTTCTAAACTTAACTAAAACGTCCACAATGTCACTTTGCAACTTAGGACCTGGTAGTGATTCACTGTTCAAACTCTTTCCATTTTGCTGAGCTGAGCCATCGAAAACAACCCGAACTTTGGTTGTGGCCTTCTCTGGCCTTACCACAGGGAAATGTGGAAGGAACCATTCTGACGGTGGTTTTGGCTCATCCTCTGGGACTTCTCGGATATATCCTTTACTTAAGTAGTCATCAACCACTGATTGGTAAGCCTGTGCCAGCTTCTCATCTTGCATTAACTTCTTCTCAACTGTGTGAAGGCGTTTCTCTGCCATCTGTCGGTTTGGCTGTAATTCTGGTCTTTCATGTTTCCAAGGCACCGCAACTTCATATCTTTCACCATCAAACCTGATTGATTCGTTCACTTTATCAAAGGCTAGTTTCTCTTCGGGGGAAAGTGGTTGCTCCACCTGCGGTGTGATCCCAATAGCCTCAAGGCTACTAAATTGTTTCAGCAGATAATTCAGATCTCCATCACTACACTCTGACTGCCTTATGCGATAGGTGTTCAGGTAACCTGTGTTACTTGTTCCAAGTCCCTCAGATGTACCAATGGTACCAATTGCTGTCCATCCTAATGCACACAGTCTGGCACTGGGTTCATTGTCAGCTCCACAAACCTCTTCCAAAGGAAACAACAGGTTGTAGTAATCTGAACCAATAAGAACGTCAATTTTGCTCCTTTTTTCAAGCTTAGGAAAAGGAATGTCTCTCAAATGTTTCCACTGGTCTTTGATTTGCAGCCAGTTGCTGGGTTTCATCCCACCACAGATGTTATTAGATGTTTTCACTACAATGATTGTGTCCACCCGACCATCCAGACTCTCCAAGCCAATCTCCATGGTTGCTGACATTAAATTGACCTTCTGTCCATTTGCAACATTGATAATTACTTTTTCCTTCCTACCATACAACCCCAGTTCCTCTACCACATCCTCATTAACATATGACAAATCACTGCCTTCGTCCAAGAAAAAATAAACTTGCAAGCATCTCTCCCCAAGTTTCAGAATGACAGGAACAGTACGCAAGGCAATACTCCTCTGTGCGTGTTCTTGCACTGTTTCATACGTACTAGACTTGTTTTCCTCTGTCACGGGTGTGTCAGCCTTCCCCTCCATGGACCCAGAAGCTACTTTCTCCTCATGAAGTAACCGATGGTGTCTGTCCTGGCATCCGCCAATTCCACACTCTCTGTTCCAAGTACATGAGTCACCAAGGTGCCCTTTCCCCAAGCAACGTTAACACAGTCCAAGCTTCTTCGCCATCTCCCACTTCTTTCTATGTTCCATTCCCTTGAACATATCACATTTCGGAATTGGGTGTTTTTGGTTGCACACTTTACAGGGAAGATCACGTTTCTCTTCTGTGGTCCCGAAATAAGACTTAGTTGAGCTCTTTCCTCGTACACTTCCAATACTGGACAAACCATGCTTAATTTCTGATGCTTGTACCTGGTACTCAGCTTCCTCAGCAACCCAGTGACACAGCTCTTCAAGAGACTCCAAGCTTCCCTTTTCTTTAATCCATCGATAGTACTGGCTAAGCAGAGCTTGAGGAAGTTTTTCCAGCAGCAGTTGCGTACAATGTTCCTCCTTCCAGGTCAGCAAACTTCTTATTTTCCTTTAAAGAAACCACAGTCCTCTTCACCATGTCGGCAAATCTTTCTAGCTCTCTCGGATTATCACCGTTTATCGGCCTCATCTTACGTAGCCCATCGATATGGGCTTGAACCTGTCGCCTGTTTCCCCCATACTTTCGATTCAACCTTGCCTTAGCTGCTTCGTAGGCATGATCAGAGTAACCAAGCCCTTTCACCGTTTCGGCCGCCTCTCCTACTAAACAACTTTCGAGCCGCAACATTTTAAACTGAGCCGACAAATTTGTTTCATCCACACAACTGGAAAATGCTGCCCACCACGACTGATATTCTTTCTTGTCGCCCAAAAACTTTGGGACCCGAATATGTCGAGCTGTTTGATTGCGTCGACCACGTGACCATCTTTGCAATGTGCGCTCTCAAATGTGCCGATCTGGCTTGTGTTATTTCCTTCGCTTTCCTTGCTGTTACTTTGCGATAAGAAAAGCCGAGCTTCCTTTGTCTCGTTAACCACAGGATCTATCATTTCATCCCCTTCATCACCTGTTGAAGCTGTCAGCGATGCATGCTTATTTTCTCTGTACAAGGTTTGAAGCAAGTCAAACAGCTCCAACAATTCATCCTGTTGCTTGTTGATGTCCTGCAGTTTTCCCATGACATTTTCCTTGTTTGGCGTTTTTGTCGATAATTCCGCAGCTAATTCGTTCAGAAGCTTTGTAATACTTGTGTTGAGGGTTCTTTTTTCTTTCTTTAACTCGTCTATTTTTCCATCCATAATTCCTCCAGCTTCAGTTCTCGATGAGCTTCCCACCAAATGTTTCCAAGTTTGAACGAGTCCCTTGTAAATTCCACAATACTGGTTCCGATTAGTCCAATTATTACACCAATGCGAATATCCGGTTTCCGAAGGACCAAAATGTTCTTTCTATTCCAAGACTGTAAGCTCTTAACAAAACAAAACAAACCTATCTCGACAAATCTCGCATATATATCTTGACAAGTCTCGAGTCAAAGTTCCATCCAAGAGTCCGAGTTCAACAACAACGTCACAAGACCAAAACACATGATAATTGTCAGGACGTACATAATGTAACGCAACTCGAAATGTCACTAACAAATACTTTTATGTAAACATCATTTAATCATGAACAGTTTCATGAAAGCATATGGTGTAGACTAGAGAAGCCTTTTTCTTTTTAAAATAACCCTTTAAAGAAGATATCTGGAGGTCCAAAAATTTCCTAAACCACAGTCTAAGTTAAACATCGTTCCAATAACCAGCCTTCTCAAACCCCTCAATAATTAGAGGCTAAGTTGACTTTCTTTTCAAAAGTCAAACTCTGTATTCTTACCCCAGTTTCTCAAAAGTTCTGATTTTCTTAACCAATTTCCTTTTCCCAAGGGTTTAAAAGCTTGTCAGTATACAGTGTATTTCTGCAATTTACAGGTTCAAAAAATCTTCCTCAATCTGCAGATTTCAAATTAGTTCACAGCTTTGGTGTAAACAAAGTTTCCTGTTACTGACATAGTACAAATTTTGAAAACGTTGTGCTAGAGAGCGCATAAAGGATACTGTTTCCATCAATACCACAATTAACTGACTTGTGGATTACTTCTACCACGAATTATACGCAATGATGACAAAAGCCCACGCCACAATTGTTGTTTTTACATGCCTGAGTACAAAGTGGTTGTGTTTTTGAGCTTTACTAGATGTTGGCAAAGCGGCAACATGTCTCAAGACCAGGCAACAGTGCTATTTTGAAATTCACGCAACATATCAAATAAGTGATAACATTTGTGGTGGAAGAGCAACGTAAAGTAACATTCATCTAAAGTGTTAATACCGGCTTTGAATCCTCTTCCTTTTCGCTTTGTGACAGCAGACTTCAATCTCTGAATACTATCTGCAAAATAATCAATGGCATAACTCTTGTATGGCGAACAATCCTCAGTTTAAAACAGTGTTTTAGCTCTTACCATCGCCTTCGTCTTCTGAAAAACCTCCTTTGTCTTCCACATCTACATCGAGCACGTCCGCCATTTTCTTTTCCGCGCGTGGTTTTAGCTCCAATGCGCATGCTTTACTTCTGTCAGCTTGAGCATTAGTTCGCGGGCTCACAAAGCGTTCGCGTTTCGCTCGCACGTGACCTGTACTTTTCAAAGGAACAAGGGCTTGGGTGGAAGGAAATTGTGGGTAAAGAATCTATTTCTGCATTTCTCTAGGGCCATCCAAACTCAAGTCTCCTTCACAAACGTCATTAAGGTCATGGCTCAATTTTCACTCACATTTTGTGACACCAGCACTGGTTTCCCTGCAAAATAACCCCTAAGAAACAACTGCCAAAATTCCATACTGATGACATATGGGTAGTGCTTCTGATTGGTTGTAGCAAATTTTTCTGGCAGCACAACCAATCAAAAGCACTACCCAGATCTGGGTAGTGACTTGTCATCAGTATGAAATTTCTGCACTCATTCCTAAGATGTCATTTTGCGGGGAATTTTTTCAAACCCAGTGGTGGGGTTGTAAAATGTCGGCTATTTTCATGGGCTGTCCAAACTTATGATAACAACACAATTTCTTTGTCTCTAGAGAATCTCTTGCGTAATCATAGCCTGCTCTTGGAAGTAAAGGCCGCAAGAAAGAACACGCGCACAAGAGGGAGAAAGGCTCCCTCTACCCTTGCGTGCCCGTTCTTTCTTGCGCCCACTACTTCCAAGCGCCTGCTATGCAGGCTAGCATAATCAGAAACGTTTATTAAAACACAGCCTATTTCCTTGGTGGCTATGCCATAGTTCCATATTGTGTAGTGGGCTTTTAAAAAATAGGCAAGATGTCACAGGTATCCCCAATTCACCATGTCAGCATTAATTTTGTTAAAAATTAATACAACTGGTACTGCTATTGTCCGTGTTTTGCATATTCTATATGAACCCTATAAATCACAATGTCATGTAATATTACCAGATGTATATATATTGTTTTTATTTACAACGAGTCCTCACATGAATGAGTTTGGGATGGCAGTGAAGAAATAACAGTGTGGAACATCAACCATCCCTCCCCTCCCCCTCACCCCCCAGGCAGTGTGGTCACCTTTCTGACATTGTTCTGTTCATTCCTACATGCTTTTGCTTCTAAGATTGCAAATAGAAGAATCAATACTGGCAACTGCGTAAATATCAATGTGTGTAATTGAATGTCACTATGTGTATAATCACCAGTAAAAGCAAGATCTCAGTACTATTTCTGAAGCTGGAGTTTATCAAACCCAAAAGAGGAAGTCAGCGTCAGAAACCGTCATGGATGTATACATGACTGACAAAAAGCATAAACCTGGATCACATTAATATTACTCATAAACTAAAAGAGAAATTTAATGGTAAAATAGAATAATTATATACAATGAAAACAAGTTTTAGTGTTGACTATCCAACACATATAAATGCCGTTTGGGAAAAAACAATACCTTTTTGATCTCCACTTGAGTTAACTTAGGCTGATTCTCAGACATCCCAGGTCGTTCGAGGTCCCTTAGAGGGAGGGAAGCAAAGGGACTGCACAAGACCTCAGATGTCTGAGAAATCAGAATCAGGCTACACTTCAGTTTGGACCCTACTAAAATGTTAACTGTGCTAACTACTAGCCAAAGTTAAACTTAAGCACTTGAGTAGTAAGAAACAAAAGACAGAAAGTACAAAATGCAGTGTTGTTTTGGTGAAAGGTATGTACAGGGGTAAAGAAAGACCTTGAATATTACCTATACACTTGCAATCTACTACGAAGTGAAAGCACTGAATGATATACTACTGTATTACTGCAGTATATTCCCTGGTTATTTCATAGACATATTTTAATAATCCAGTTTACTGGAAGTTTCCAATGACTAACAGATTAAAAGTACTGAAGATGCCTTTTTACCATGTTAGGCTCCACTGGAAGTGAATTCATACATGTTTATCCACAAATTCCAATGAGACAAAGACCTGTTTACAACTTTTTCTATTGTTTATTCTCAAATTTCTCGAACCTTCCGGCCACTAATTGTGAATACTTTACTACAGGTCAAGAGTAACCTTGTATCAATGCATCATAATTTGGTGTTTGTTATTAAGAGGTAATTCTAAATACAATAATGGAGTATTCGCCGGTAGTCAGTTCATTCCTTTTAAAAAAATAAAACTAAAGTTGTTTGTTTCAGTCATCACTATCTTCTCCATTGTCATTTGATGTGTAAAGTGATTGATTTCTCCTCTTGAGCTTCAAGACCTTCCTCTGAGGCTCTAACTTTTGACAATCTTCGGGAAATTCCTCTGTCATCACACTGTCAGATCCCTTATCATCACAGTGAGAACTATCACTTGCAAATAATGCAATCTCAGTACCCAGTATACAAGAATTTGAAGGCTTTGGAAGTTCAAGATGAGATCTTTTGATTTGACCTGATTGAGTTGTGTCATTGATGCCTACGTTACTTTCACTAACATCCTTGTTATCATCATCCTCAACATCGTCATCACTGTCAATTCCAATTTCATCGGGATTTCTGGATGACGCAGCACTAGGTGCACAAATATTATCATCATCACTAAGATCAATTTCTTCAGGATTTTTGTATGTTTCAGCAGCCTTCTTCTCAGAGTAACAAGGATTCTTGATTCCAAGCATAGAACAATAGGTTTCAGTTTGAGGATTAATCACAGGTAGAACTTGCTCCATGTTAATTTTCTTTGAGTGGCTTGGATTAAAAGGTGCTGTAGTAATCTTGAAATTCTCAGGAATGTTAGGTGGATTGCCAAACACTTTTCCGACTTCTTCAACTACTTTTTCATCAGGTGTAAACCTTGACAGCTGTTCAGGATTTGGAAGGACAGTGAAGTGTGAAGTCATGTTGCTGAGAGGGTCTGTAAGCTTTGAAATCGCAAGCCACTCAGGATCATAACACAGTTGTAAAGGAGCTTTTGTTGGACCCAAATCGATCACTTGTAAAAACTCACGTCTTGGGAGGCACTTATCTAATGCAAGGAACTTTGTGAATTTACGACCATCTTTAGAATCATGAGGTACCAATGCTGGAAATTTGGTGTGCATGTGGGCAGCAAACCAGTACGTAGGCCTTAACAGTGTGAGAAGTTCTCCAGCTGGCGGACTTCCCAGTGTATTTGACTCAATTTCTGACCTTAGATATTCTTTATACCTGTATAGTTCCTGTACGTTTCCATGGTGATATACGCCTAGTGGCCAGTCATGTGACATAAAGATATCAATGGGCTGAGAAAGAATTTTCAATTTGAAAACATCCAAACTTCTGACATGATAAGCACTGCGGACTGTAGAATTATTATACGGTGGCCTCTCAAAATGTCCCTTGTTATAATCGTGGCCCTTATATATACCGGAAAGACCTGCAATTCGGATGCCACCAAAATTCACAACTCCAGCGTACCCCAGATAGTAAATATTGGGGGCTACCCATCCCCCGTAGGGAAGTTCCCATAGGTGATTTGAGGCCTCATGATTTCCTCCAATAAAGATCGTAAGTAAAGGAGCTTTCTTTTCACCGGAGTAATACTTGTAGAACGTCTCCATGTGCCGATACTTCAGTGGAACAGCCATGCAGCAGAGGTCGTTCTCATTCCGAACGGCCTGAAAGTCTCCGCAGCAAAGAAGCAAGTCAACTTTGATGCTTTCTTTTCTTTCCAAGTGCTCCAAGGTTTCATAAATCTTGTCAAGTTCACCATGGCAGCAGCCTTCAATAGCAATTTTCATGATGAATGATTTTGATACCAAAATTATCACAATTTTCCTGATTACACACTCATGGACCTCATGAGGGGCACTGCAGGAAACTAGCGTGAGCCTGCACTAGTAGGTCAGTGATTTCAATACATCCACTCATGCGTGTTTTGCTGGCCAGAAAATCCAAAATGGCGCAGGTTAGTGACGAAATTGTGCAAGTTATGTCACGAGAATCGTTCCTCTTTCCTTGTCTACTAAACTAAACTCTTGTAGGCTTACTAATAACACTTCTTCTTTGTTTTTTTTTCCTTGAAACAGATGCTACTTGGAAGATACGTGTGTCAGAATTGTCGTAACTTTGCACGTGTTGCTATGTTTGACACACGTGCAAATCGATATTTCCTAGGTGCTTCGTTTGTTCCTGACAGATTTCGACTAGTAGAATGCAACTCACAGCAGGTAAAAGCTCATTTAATGTCGTCTTACTGGTCTTCGTACTGGTCTCTCTTCGTAACCCGCTATCCCTGTGACGTAGGTGCACAGTTAAGAGAGCGGGGGGAAATGGAGGCTAATTATAAGTCACTAGGATCACTGAAGAAGGTTCAGTGATCATTGCTGCACGCAATGATCGCAGACATCATTGTGCGGCGAACAATCACTGATAATTTTAACCCTATCTTGTGTTCGTTTTGTACCATATTGTCATGCAGATCACTGGAATTTTTTTAAGTGATTACAGTAGTCATGCAGTCAGGCTTAGGCCCATTTCAAACGTCGTGCTACTGCCATGCCAAACTCAATTGATTGAATTATATTCGACTTTAGCACGGCAGTAGGGTGATGACTGAAACCAAATCATGCTAGCCCGCAAAGGTTTGCTGTGCTACACAGCAAACGGGAGCTCAACTTGGTTTCAAACGTCATGCTACTGCCTTGCTGAACTCAATTCATAAATTATAAATACATTAGAATATATTTAAAAGTCTGCTAAACCTTTTCTTGATTTTTGTGATTTGTTTTCGGTAACAGCTGTTCTATTCAACTGAATTAAATTCAACGTCTGAAACTAAGTCAAGCTACAGTTGAGCCAGCTTAGCAAGGCAGTAGCATGACGTTTGAAACAGGCCTAAGACAGTTGATAGCAGTTTGGCTGAGCTGCAGAATACGGTCAAACCTTATTAGGCAGCCCTCTGTTAAGTAGTCAGTCCGTATTAGCAGTCACAAATCAAATTCAAATAATTTGCCTTCCATTCCTAAATTTAACATCTATTAAGACAGCGGTCACTGCTGTTAATTGGAGGCAGTCAGTACCATCCATATATTATTATTCATTCAAAATATATCTCCATTTCTGATTGGCTAAAATCCCACACATAATTCATCATAACAAGCTTCTGTCCGCCAAATTTGGAAGAATTTTATGATATGTGAAAAATGACGTCAGTTGTGCAGCAAATTGCCAGATTATTGAACAGTACTGTTAACCAAGAAGACCTAGGGACGAGGACGAGTTGTTTTGGTGGTGAGTACAAAGTGGCGGAATATTTCACTCTTTTCATGAAGAACAAATATGGGAACTATTGGTTAAAAACATAGCAAGAACAACGAGAAGACAACTTGAAAGACAACATCTGCTACTTGGAGAATATGTGCAGTACTGAACAACCCCTTATCTCCTAAACTTTCTGATAAATGGGCAATTAAACTCATCAACAATAGATGAGCTTGGGGAAGGTGCCCGGAAAGATGGTGGGGCCTCGAGCACCGGAGCCGAGCGCGTAGGGTAACCATGACAACCCTGTGAGCGGCAACCACCAGGCACCGTCACACTGACAGAACACAGTGGAACCATGATACTTACCACATACTTACCGGAAAAGGGGGAGGGGAGGGCGGGGAGTAAAGCCGCCAAGCACCGTCGAAAAGGCAGAAGTGCACGCGCAAATGAGTTGACCTCAAAACCCGAGCTGTAAAACCACGCGACCCCCTGCAGATCCCCCACCACTGCGCATGACCGAGACAAAGGAAACCCCAGACCAGCATTGTTTCGCGTTTAACTTAGCTTAAATTACATTTAACCACATTTAAACTCATCAACAATAGATGAGCTTGGGGAAGGTGCCTGGAAAGATGGTGGGGCCTCGAGCACCGGAGCCGAGCGCGTAGGGTAACCATGACAACCCTGTGAGCGGCAACCACCAGACCTCGCGCTCCAAGCGGAGTGCTTGGGGAGCGAAGGGCCCGCGAGCAGGGTGGGAGAGGGACCGAGACCCCCCAAAAAACTCTCCAAGCACCAACCCCAAAGCCTGCCGCTGACAAGAAAACAGAAAGGAGCATACATACCCAGTGATGACGCGCAAACCTGCAACCCGCAACAACAGGCTGTCCTCCGTCCCACTGTCAGGGCTGAACTCCCTGACCGGAATCCCATTATGAGTGCAAAGCCCCTACTTGCCCCCCAGTGCTTACTGGCCACAGCATAACGAAACCGCGCGGAGAAGTCAAATAACATCGGAGACAACTGTGCTAAGCACAAACCAGCATAGGTAGAGATACAACGGTGCCCTAATTTGTCCCCAGAAGACTGAGTGAAAGTAAAAAGCTGACGGGTTCTATGATGAGCAACCTGAAACACCTGCAGTCAATTTTTTAGAGAGTTGCGATAACGTCTCCGCAGGAGTACGAATGTAAGACAAATAGGCGGTGCTGGTCCACCGCCCCAAAGCCTGAATTTGATGATCTGGGATGCCATTACGAGCTGCGACAGTAGCTGCCCCAATCCGAAAACTGTGGCTAGAGAAGTTGCCTTGGATGTTAGCCGAAGGCAAGATGCGACGTAACCAAGCCGTCAACAGAGATCGAGACAACGGGCGACCGTCCTGAAACAAAAATAAGGGGCCTGGTCTGTCGCCCCTTAAAGTCAAGTACGCCAACAGCGATTGGACTGCGCACAGCGGAAACGAGCCACGGCCTATGTGCACGAAACACCCCTTCCGGAAGGGGTCAGTTTTGGATGCCTTTATCCTAATGCGAAGGCATGAGGGCAATGAACTAGCGTCCACAGCGATATCGGCCACACCCAGATGGATGGAAGGGGAGTAACTGGCCAAATTGGGGACGGTGAATTCCGCAGAGCGAAGAAAGCCAAAGTACGCCAGGCAACAGGCTGCCCAAAACATGCAATGATCTGCCATCGTGACGTCCAATGCTTTGAAGATAACAGCCATGATCTCATCTGTGATTGGAAGCCGTTGAGAAGAAGAATCGCCCTGAGTTCGCTTAATTCCTCGAAGCACCCGCTGCAACCTTAAACAGTTGACAAGAGGATCCGAAAAGCCCTGGTCGACGTGCAAGGAGCGCACGGCAGAGAGATACACCTTGATGGTGGAGTATTGCACAGTATTGGCCAAGAATGTTGCGAACAGGCATAGCGTCCACTCGTCAACCGGGCAAGGGGAACCGGAGGGATGAATCTTACCAAGCTGAGTACAAAAGTCATAAAACTTTTTCTGACCTGAAGCGTACGAGTTGCGTGTAGAGGATGCCAGCCCATGCACCAGAAGAGTGTGGCACCGAGCCTCTAAGGTGGAGATATCAAAAAATCCCATAGCTGATGAGGAATTGGAGCTGGGAGTGGTAAGGCCTCGGGCGCCAGACGCCGGAACTCCTGCCAACGAAAGCGGGAAAGAGCATCAGCAATCGAGTTATGAATGCCAGGCAGGTGTATAGCTGTAAAGGTAAAATTATGGCGAGCCGCAGCGGAAAGTAAGTGGCGCAGCAGCTGCATAATGCATGGGACCTTTGATGTCCTGGACGTGAGAATGTGCACCACTGCCTCGTTGTCCGAGCGGAACAAGACATGGCATCGGTGCCATTGCGGACCCCAGACGTGAGAAGCAACCACCACAGGGAATAGTTCTTTGTACGCGATTGATTGATCGTACTGGGAGGGGGCCCACGCTCCGCTGAACCACTCATTTTTGAAGTAAGCGCCAAATCCCAAGGAGCCAGCAGCATCTGACGTGACCTCCACATCTGTGGAAGCAGACAAACCCGGGAAAAGCCAAAAGCTCACCCCATGCCACGACGTGAGAAAATCAGACCACCACTGGATATCCTTGCGGAACTCCACGCTCAAACGAATAGGATGCTCGCGCGAGCGAAAGCAACAAAGGAGGTCGATCATGCGGCGTAGAAAAGTACGACCAGGCCACACAACTTTGGCGGCGTGGTGAAGGTGGCCGATCAGCGACTCGAGTTGACGTCTGGTACACCACCGCCTGTTCCGCCACGACTGAATCAACTCCTGAAGGGCGGCTAACTTGTCTTCTGGAAGACGAGCCGATTGCTGCACTGAATCTAGCTCAATTCCCAACACGGTCAAACAAGTGAGCGGGCCAACGCACTTGCCAGGGTGGAGGGGAAGGCCAAGTGACCGACAAACTGCCAGGGATGTTTGCAAATTATTAGTGCACTGGTTCGAACAAGCCGGGCCTGCAGTGAGGAAATCATCGAGATAGTGCATAAGGTCGGCCACATTGTACCTATTAATAATGATCCATTCCACCATGTCTGCTATCGAGTTAAAAATATAGGGAGCCGAGCGGAGCCCAAAGGGAAGAGCTAAGTCAACAAAGAATTGGCCCCGCCATTTCATCCCTAACAGGTACCGATCCTCGGGATGCACTGCAACGTTGCGATAAGCGGCCTCGACATCGAACTTTGCCATCATGGCCCCACGACCGTGCTTGGCCACCATGCGGATAATCTGGTCGAGTTTGATGTAATGCATAGAGAATGCGTCAGCGCTGATACCGTCATTTACGCTGTACCCACCCGGGGAGGATAAGTCAACAATAAGCCGCCATTTGCCAGGTTGGCCTTTTTTGGGGATTACCCCGAAACTGCTTATTTGTAAATTCCGAAGGGGAATCGAGGGAAAGGGGCCTGCCACCCGGCATCTGGAAACCTCGTGGGCCAAATAATCGTCAATAACTTTCGGGTTCTGGAATGCCGAGGATTTGTTCCGTTTGGCAGATTTAAGTGTACGAGTAGATTGGAATCCCAGGCGAAACCCGTGCGTGAGGCCTTGCAAAACAAAGGCGACTGCTTGCTGATCTGGGTGCCCAGCCAGGTCCAACGTGAATTGTGCCACATTCAGGGGAGAAACCACCGACACTGGATGGAAAATAGGACCCCCTGATGATAAAATTGCAAAGAAAAGAAACACTTGCAAAATGATGAAAACCCAACCATAGCATTTTATTATCTAACATCCAAGACTGGTACAAATGCAAACAAGAGAGCCTAGCAACGAAGCAGGTGAGCTAAAGGCATGATACCCTGACCCCTGCTAAACGGGGTGTAGGGACAATATAGCCGCACACGAACTGTCAAAAATAACAAAATAGCCTCAAAAGAGACCACATTACGATAACTAATCAACTAAGGCGAAGTGCCACACTAACAAAAACGATAAACAACAAGATCATGAATGTTCACGTGGGAATGAGCGAAGCAACAACACGAGGCGGCACAGCTAAACCGTCAGGACAACTGCAGACTGTACGCACGAATGGCTGCGAAACCCGGCAACTAACGAATCCCTCACGTACGGCGAGCTTTGGCACCGGAGGAAGATCCTGGAGAACTTCCGCGACGTTTGCGTTCTTCACGGCTGTCCCGGCTGGAGCGATTGGGGCACGTCGTCGCACGATGGGAGCCAGAACATAAATTGCAGCGATGGGCATAGCGACACGACGCGAAGGGTGCTGTACAGCGCCCCTTGTTCCACGAAATGCAAACGACATTAGAAGACGAAGATCCTGGTGGCTCAGGGTACTCATTAGATTGGGCCAGTGTAGAGTCACGGACGGACGAACCAGCAGCATGGAAATTAAATAATTGCACGTTCATCGACGACCAATCCGTCAAGCGAATGGCGGCGGCATGCTCACGGAATGCTCGGTCGTACGCGAGCCACACTTTGCCCGAGAAATGACGGAATGTGCGGAGGATGAGCAGCTGGTACTGCAATAAGTCCTTCCATCGATGCGGGAAGTGGGTGACCAAAATCATAGCAAAGATGGAAAAGGCTTCCATCCAGGACGCGATGTCCTCGATCTTCCGGCGCTGTTGCTTCGGTTGGGACGTGAGAACAAGGCGCCCGTCGAACAGCACTTGCGGCTCGGTTTCCTTCTGCAGCAAGTTCACGGCCAGTAAATCGCTCAGGTCAACGTACTTGCCCGCCACGATTTGAGCGACCAGCTTCGCCGGCACGGGCGAGAAACCGGGACCAACAACGAACGGCTGGTCCAACAACGAAGCCGATGGACCGACAGAACGGGCGGCGAAATCGCGAATCGCCCCGCTCTGCGAGGAGCAAACGTTCGAGGCGCTAGGAGCGAAAGATGACATGGATGGAAGCGAAAACGTGGACACAAAGGATGGCACAACAAATGATTGGCTTGGCCTACCTTGTACGGGATGTCCGCCGAATCCTGTCCCCGCGGCCAACAGGCTTGATGCAGAATCGGTGAGCGACGGCAAAGCAGCGGGAACGCCTCCCGAACAAGGCGGTGTTGTAGTAATGGCGCTCGCTGCGGACAAAACCGGCTGAGATGTAGTCGAGGCAGTTCCCGAAGATTCCCGCTCGGCTGCGAGAACAGCTTGCACGGTCTGCGTGATCAACGCAACCATTTCTGGCGAAACTCCCGCGATCGCCGGCCCGGCCGGTGGAAGAGACGCTTGAGAAACTTGCGACGAGGGAGGCGAGACGTTTTGACCAGCCGACGAAGACACGTTTGAAACCGAAGCCTCTTCTCCAGATGGAACAGGCAGTAACACCGGAGCGGTTTGCAAGCTATTAGTCGTACCCCGCGAACCCATCGTCAAAAAGGCAAATAAGAGCAAAGTCGCCAAGCACCGTCGAAAAGGCAAAAGTGCACGCGCAAATGAGTTGACCTCAAAACCCGAGCTGTAAAACCACGCGACCCCCTGCAGATCCCCCACCACTGCGCATGACCGAGACAAGGGAAACCCCAGACCAGCATTGTTTCGCGTTTAACTTAGCTTAAATTACATTTAACCACATTTAAAGATGAACTTAACATCGATGGAGGTGAGCATGTTTTAGCTTAATTTAAACTAGAAATTATTTTGAATGAATAATCAAACAATCACAACCCCCTGTTCATGAAGGACTTTGAAATTTTCCCAACCCTCAGAAAAATTTTCTTTTTCCAAGCCTTAAGGACGAGCCGAAATTTAAGCCTTTTTTCAAGCCCTTATAAGTCTCGCAACTTGCGCTGAAGAAGGTAAAGATAACTGCCAAACCATGGAGGCATTTTGACCTGCAAGCAAAATAATTGCGTTCGACGAAGGAAGAACGCTTCCTAATCTTCTGGGTTGCCTGTTATCGCGTAGGTTCCCTGTGCACGCAAGCGAAAGCTGACCCGTGTTTTTTCGTTCCATGGTTCACCTTTTCGGCGCCATTTTGAATGACATCACAATTTCGTTGCACAAAGCATTCTGCCTCGTGCTTCGCTGTTTGTCGGATGTGTTGGAAGGTTCAAGCTTTATTTACGTCATAATCAATTGTCATATGGCAATCACGTGCATCACTGGTTCCATCAAGGTCAACAAGCAAGATGATTACACGGGAATATTTGAGTTTTATCGCTGAACTGATGATTCTGCTACACCTTTTTCGGTCAATGCCGTTCAAATCGAGCTGGAACTTCGTAGAAACACACAAATAAAGACCACGTAACATTTGTGCCGTGAGAAGTTTACCCGTGCGTTTGAGTCTATTTATATATTTGTAGTTTAACCTCTTTACGCACGAAATATATTCTGAGATAAAGTAAGCTGTTGTTACAACTGTAATGCTTCATTCATGTCTGATATATCTACGCGGGCCATCTTGCATGATAAGTATCTCGCTCCCTGAAGCAAGCTTAAGTTTTAAATATGTTAAACTGACGTACATGAACTTAAAATAATCATGAGATGAAAAGTTTGCACAATTGCAAAAGATTCTGTCCTGTTCTCTGACATCAGTAATCTAGCAAAAACCTAATATGTTTCCGTCGCTGCTATGATCATTGTTTTCATTTCAAGTTGTGTCACGCAAGAAGCCAGGACTTTGTAACCTTCGAGGCTACCATTTTTTCGAAGTTTGTAGTGACATGTTTATCTTTTTAACAACATAGAACTTTTTACGATCTATTTTACATTTTTATCGACCATGCTTGAGGGAGAATAAGACAGGAGTAAAGAGTTAATGAGTGAGATATTTTGAAGCTGTATACGCGAAGAGCATCTCTTAAGAAAAGAATGTTTACCTTTTAATTCATGATCTCTTCCATGATTGAAATAATGCTTGACGACACAAAAGCCAATCTGGAGCTAAGAAAATTCGAACGCACTCATTAATCTATGATTACTTCTAGTACTTTTCTGTATTTAACTGTGCTGTAGTGGAGTAGTTCACAGCTTCTTTTCTGTTCTTTTCTCCATAGACTGATTAGACTTCTTCTGAATTTAATAAGTCATTTATCTTATTCACTTGTTTAATTTTTTGTACTGCAGGTCAGATGGTTTGCTTACAGAAGACCAAATGAACAACCTGGCTTGATAGGAAGATTTATAGAAAATATAAAGGAGGGCTTTGAAAGAAATAAAGAAATGCAGGTATACATTCCTTGACCCATAACTTATTTTTCTTTTCTTTTCCCTAGCGAAGTGATTTTCACAAGCACATAATTATTTATTTCAACATGTTGATTCCTCCGCATTTTAGGAAAACATAAAGAAATTTCAACAAGAAGCTAAAAAATACGAGCAATCTGAAACACTCTCAAGTAAAGTCAGAATTGCTAACAAAATTAAGGTAAGTTTTCAGTTTGCTGTAACAGTGGTTTTAAAATAGGTTCCACTTTCAAAAGATGGATCCAGGGGATTCAAATACCAAAATTCAATCTTCTTGATATGAGATACTGGCAGTATGTATCTGTCATTTGCATAATTTACTCCTGTGTTTCTTAGGACTTACAATCGTCATTTTGTTTTTCACAGGACAGTGTGTCATCTGTTTCAATGAGGACTTCTGCTGTTGTTAAAAGTTTCTCTGGAGCCTTTTCTACGAAAGTGTCAAAGGTACTGTAGATTGTGTGCAGTGATGTTGTGTCTTAAATACATGTACTAACAAAAAAAATACTATTGTCAGTTCCAAATTTTATTGGTGTTGTTTTTCATCAGGCATATGAAGAGGCAACAACAAGTGAAGCTTTTAAGAAAGGCAGAGCTGTTTCTGAAGAAGTATGTTTTTAGCCTTTACAAATCATAACAATCAAGTCTTAGGCAAAAGTTATGCCGAGGAAATTTCATATGAATGGTAACAACATAGGATTTTATCCGCAGATTTAAAAGTTGGATTGCCAAATCTTGCCTTAATGTAGTGCTCGCATTTATATGATGAACCTTAACTGCTGAAAGAAAACTTAAAAATTCATAATTGACCAGGATTCAAACCCTGACCTTTGCAATGAGTGGACACTGTCAGTGCTCTTTCTAAATAAGCTGAGCAATCAAACTGGAGAGCTGTTCAAATTATTGTGAATTTGTAATAACAATAACATGCAAATTATGTTACTGTATTTATGTTACAGTTCAAAATTACAACTGTATATGCAGGTTAAATTTTTTTAACTTAGGTTGATTCTCTGTTTTCGTTGTCTCCTAGCCCTAATTAGTCTCGCTTGCTTTACAGTGTACAATCTAGCTGCGAGACTGAAAATATGAAAAGCATTATTTTTTTTTGCATGTGTGCGCACCAAAAGGGATCATGGTCCTAGGCATTCTTAGCAGAAACTATGGAAACTGGGGATAAGAATTATGACATGACAAAAACCATGCATAGAATTAAGCTTAGGAAAGATTAATGCAAAAATTAATCAATGCGAGCATTGGGTCGGTCCACAAATTCTATCGCTTGAAAGCTTTTATTACTCTGGAACAAGACAGTGATAACCTCAGTGGCTAAAAAAAAGAAGAATCTTAATGTAAAACTTTGATGGCAAGGCTCACTGGTCAGGTGTTGTAAACTTTCATTGTATGCAAATAAGTCTTGTGTTGAGCATGCAGTTTACTTTTGACACACGTAATTCAGAAACAAATCGTTGAATACAATATAAAAATTAAATATCCTGAAGGGTTACCGGTCATTTGGATATAAGTTTATTCCATCTAGTTTTAAATAGTTTAATTTTTAAGTTTAACAAACTTGGCTTAATGAATGAAGAATATTCACCCAAAGTGCTTATCTTTTTCACACGCAAACTATACTTAAAGAGATTGAAATTTTTTTGTAATTTCAATGCTCAACTTTTTATTGAAATAAATTGTATCAAAACGAGCGGTTACCTCCTGAAGAATACTCGATGGCTGATAAAGTAGGAAGTAAAAAACTTTTAGGGAGGAAATCCTGTTGTGTGTAGAATTAATTGCCTCCTTATTTCTTATCTTATCTCCAAGCAAGCGAGACTGAGTGGTTTTAAGAGCATTCTTGTTATTCAGGAATTAGGGCTAGGAGACAAAGGATAAAGAGAGTCAACCTATAGGTTTCAAAATTGTAACCTGAATATAATATTTACATGTACATCCACATAAACAAGTGTGAACAGGGAATGAAACAGAAGCAGTAAATTGCCTCATTAATCTAACTGGCATGTTTCTTTTTTTTTTTTTTTTTTTTTCTTTTTAGCTTGCTAAGTCTGCCAAGGAGGCTGCCTCAAAGGTTCAAGAACAAAGTGAAGTGATTGGAAAAACAGATACTTTTAAGGCTATGTCGGCAGTAAGTGATTAAATAGGCCTTTAAGCTCCAATATCCACAGGGCTTTCAATAAACACTGACAGCTGACGAAACACATCNTTCACCCTTTCCCCACACGCCCCCTTTCCGATCTTAAAAGCATTCTTGTTATTCAGGAATTAGGGGAAGGAAAAAAAGAAAAAAGAGAGGAAACCAAAAGGTTTAAAAATTGTAACCTAAAATTAATATTTAAATTTACATCCACATAAAAAATTTTGAAAAGGGAATAAAAAAGAAAGGGAAAATTGCCTAATAAATCTAACTGGCATTTTTTTTTTTTTTTTTTTTTTTGTTTCCTTGTAGCTTGCTAAGTCTGCCAAGGAGGCTGCCTCAAAGGTTCAAGAACAAAGTGAAGTGATTGGAAAAACAGATACTTTTAAGGCTATGTCGGCAGTAAGTGATTAAATAGGCCTTTAAGCTCCAATATCCACAGGGCTTTCAATAAACACTGACAGCTGACGAAACACATCGGCAATTGCTCAGAGCAGTTGGCTACTTTTTTCTAGAAAGATAACTGAGAAGCAACTAGTTTGAATAATGTGGTAAATAAAAAAGGATCATAAAATCTGAATGAAATGGTTTTACATTATCCTTTAGTCATGTTATGGGGAAGTGCACTCCCAGACCCCCTCCCCCCTAGAAAAAGGGGACTAATGGCCCCTTGTTGATACAGTTGGATACTCTTTTCATACATGCCGGCTACTTGAATTTTTATTAAAACCCCTGTATCCATGTACAATTGCTCTAGACTGAGCTCCATCCATTTTCTTCCTAGTTGGTAAAATTTGTTTAAAGATCAAACCATTTCCCCATGATAGGTGATCATTCGCATTAATTCTTGTATTCTTTTCTCTTGATTATGGTTTGATATGTTATATAAGAAAATTGATGTTGCGACTCGTGATTTAAAGGGGTACAGAGGATAGTAGAATGTTTTGATGATTAGGTGTTTAGAAAAGAAAGTGAGCGGCATACATTGTATCTGCTACTTATATTTCTTTAATATTGTATTTTAGTGCAGAATAGCATTTAAATTCTATTTCCTTAAAATCCACAGGGCTTTCAAACAGTTAAGAAGGAAGTTCTCGATGAAACACTTGAACAGTCCAAACCTTACAGGACCCCAGGTAAGCACAGTGTAACAACTGCTGATAGAGTTTTGTATTCAAGAGGTTACAGTGTACTCGCATTCATGTAAGTGAGCAAAATGTGGTGATCGTTGGGCTGTCATTTATAGGCACAAGCCAGGTGTCACTCAACCTCTTCATCCTGTCTGGGACATAATTATGCTGTAAGGCAACAGTCATCATGTATGTTGCCACTCAACCCTGAGCTTTGGACTGCGCTTTAGACCCAACTCGTCCAGCTCTTTCATCACTATTCCAGGGTTTTCAGTAAGGTTTTAAGTAGGTGGCAAAAGCCTTGGAGTAGGCGGAGAAGGAAAAAATGCATGAGTTACTGGGGGGCTCCTGGAAAAAGTTTTAAATATGGGTCTCTTAGAGTGCATTTCCAGCTTTTTGAAGCAAAAATTAGATTGTTTGAACAGAAAACAGAAATCATTAAATTTTGGTTTTTTGGAGGGTAACTTCCAAAGAAAGGTTGGCAGTGAGTTCACGTGAAATAGCTTTCAAATTTCAGTGGCTGCCAGGTCTTATTGAGAACTCTGCTGTCCTCAGCTAGGTGGTTTTCTGCCTGCCTCTTTTCCTCCCCCCACTTGGAATCTATCTCAAGGCAACCTTACGTACGTGTATCCTTAGGACATACCCCCACCACTTTGGAAGGAAAATAATACAAATGTAGGTCTACAACACAAGAAAAATGTCATATCTCTGGCTACCTTTCCAACATTATCAATCCACTTATCTACAATGTCCTTCAAGATAGTGACAGACCTGAAAAGTGCAAATTGCCAGTGTTGTTAGGGCTGCAAGAAATGTCATAGTGTACATAGGAGCAAAACTTAAGGAATATCCATGTAGCATTATCACTATAATTTGATTTCCTAAGTGGCTGGGTCAGTGGTGGAAGAGCTTCAAATAACTAGCTTAAGTGTTAACTGCAAGAATAACTTTCTTATTTATTAACTGCATTTTTATCTACATGTTATAGCAATACTCACACTGACATCAGCTATAGATTTTAATGTGCCAACCAGACGCGCATTGTTACTTGAAACAAAATATTCTATTGTTTCACTCATTACAAATTTGAATATTATTAAAACAATGTTTGTAAACAGTGAAATCTTCTATAGTGATGTTGTTCTTGTTTTTGGAATGTTTTAGAAAAGCTTAGAAGGAGAACTGGAGAAGAAGGTGAAATGGCTAAGAAGGAGAGAAGAATCGATGCCANGTGTTGTTAGGGCTGCAAGAAATGTCATAGTGTACATAGGAGCAAAACTTAAGGAATATCCATGTAGCATTATCACTATAATTTGATTTCCTAAGTGGCTGGGTCAGTGGTGGAAGAGCTTCAAATAACTAGCTTAAGTGTTAACTGCAAGAATAACTTTCTTATTTATTAACTGCATTTTTATCTACATGTTATAGCAATACTCACACTGACATCAGCTATAGATTTTAATGTGCCAACCAGACGCGCATTGTTACTTGAAACAAAATATTCTATTGTTTCACTCATTACAAATTTGAATATTATTAAAACAATGTTTGTAAACAGTGAAATCTTCTATAGTGATGTTGTTCTTGTTTTTGGAATGTTTTAGAAAAGCTTAGAAGGAGAACTGGAGAAGAAGGTGAAATGGCTAAGAAGGAGAGAAGAATCGATGCCAATGAGTATGTGTGGTTGTCTTTTATAATAAATTTATTTTTCTTGTATTTTATTATGGGGATGGAAATTGCACTGTGCATGTCTTTCAACATGTTAAACTAGGTGGCATTAAGCATAGATTTTGAGATTTTGTGCTTCATGCTGAGTGTATACATGTATCTTACAGTTCAAAGTTTTCATATATCATGTTTTCACCCAAGAGCTCACCTGTTATTTCACTGGTGTTTATATAATAATAGAATATATTTTTTCATGTGTCTTGTTTTTTTTTTTTTAGGGATGCTACAGGGATGGTTCTCCACAGAGACTCTAAATGGTATCAACAATGGCAAGAGTTTAAAGACAACAATCCTGTAGTGACTGGTAAAGTTATGACATTTACAACCTTACTCTTTTCTTATGTACCTGCAATGATCATGACCGATAAAATTAATGCAGTTTTGCAAAAAAATTTTTGTGGCTTATTTACATTCCACATAAAGCGGGAAATGAGATGTTTTCACTTTGAAGTCATACAGTGATGGCGAAGAAATGAACAAGGAAGTGTGCTGCAACTGCAAAGTTGTTGTTAAACATTTTGCTTTTTTGATGTTCTAGTTGCCGTTGCTGTGGTCAGCCTATTGTTTAAAGTTACATGCAGTCCTGCTAATTAAGTAAGCAATTATTATTGACCCACTTAATAATATTTTACAGGTCTTTTCAATCTGAAAACAAAATATGATGAAAGTGACAATGTGGTTGTGCGAGCCTCAAGAGTGGTAACAGACAAGCTACAAGATATTTTTAGTAAGTCAATGTTAATAATACTTCAGTGAATTTCATAGTCATGCACAAGTACATTCATGAACAAGGGCAACAAAGTGTCACTTTTCATGATCATTATACTGCAAAGGGCCTGAAGAAAAAATTGACTTTTCTTGCTTGCCAGTACATACATGCAAACTTGAAAATTGTCTAACACACATAAAACGGTTCAAAAAAATTAGTAAGACAAATAAAAAGAAAAGAAAAAGTGGAAGGGAAATTAGCGATAGCCGAAAAGAAGCAATCACTTTTGTATCGATCTCTGTTTTAACTGCATTTTCAATACCAAGTGCAGTGTTTTTTTGCAATTTTGCCACACACAAACATGCAAAGGCTGTGACTGCTGCTTGTGTAACAGGGTCCTACATGTGTATTTCCAAGAGATGACTACCTCACCATACAAAGAAAAAAGTAAATTAATTTTATTAGAATCACCTGTGATTAAAACCATGTGGAAGGCAGGGTATGGTGAATTTGGTTATCTTAAACTATCGCAACCAGCGTCTAATTTCTATGTGTAACAATCACTGTAAATCGCTGCTATAGTGATTTTTGAGGGGCTTCCTCTCGGAATTTTGGGGTTGGGGTGTGCCATGGGACTATAAAACCTTTGGCTTACTTGTACCAGTATATTGGTCCATATTCAGCCGCAATTTTACTTCCCTATTGCAGGCATGTAAAATGAAAAGTGCATCCTATCCAACACTAACTGAGAATCTATATACCACTAATCAACTTCCCCAACATGACTTTCTATAAATATCAGTCCACAATTGTGTGATTTCAATTATTTTTTAGCTGATGTGTTCTCACAATCTGATACTGCCAAGACAATGGCTGAAATCACAAGAATAGACCCACAATTTAACAAAGATAGCTTTCTCAAAGAATGTGAATTTGAAATAATCCCAGCTGTTTTAGAGGTAAGGTCTAGCTTGAGCTTAACAGCATTAATTTTGCTGTTCATAAGTGCTTCTATGTCAACCAGACTTAACTGTTCTAGTACAGTATACACAGCCTTATGATAGAACTGAAGCCTTTGCCCACAATCATTGTCATAGCAACCTCTGTGATCACTAAAATCATGGATAATAGGGAAAGAGTTTATATTTATTTATAAATTATAATCTCTGCACTTGTTAGACTTCTTTTAACTTATGCTAGTGATCGCGTAGCCTCCCACGCAGGCATTTTTAGTAGAGCTCGTACTTTGTCCCTCCCCACAAACACCTGTTCAACCGAGAACAACATTCCTTTCCCAAGCGTAGCCAATCACATTTGTTCTTTCCAAATTCTGGAAGGTTGACCTTGACGGCAGGGTAACCCAACAATTACTCAATCTGCATAAAACAATGAGAAAGCTTTATGACCTCTAATAAATGTTAGACTCAGAGATTTTCTCAGTTAGATTAAATTAGAGTACCCCATGCCCTGCATAACCTTAGCGATGGAAAGAAAAGAAGGAAAAAGGTAACTCTCTGGTCATGTTTTCACACCATCACAAGCTTGTGTGTTTAGCCTGTCAAACTGTTGATTGGTCACTTACCGCACAAATAAAACAGTGGGAAAGGAATTTTGTTGTTGGTTGAGCAGGCATTTGTGGGGAGGGACGAAATATGAGCTCCCCTAAAAATGCCCGCATGGGAGGCTAGTGATCACAATGATCATGATGAAAACACACCCTGCTAGCAGACCCTATCTGTCACATGATCAATTTTGGCATTCTCAAGAAAAGACTCTTTGTAAATTGTGTAATAAGTTCTTTGATGAGCATGTGCTGCTTGTTGGTGGGATGCATTTTCAACCCCAGGTTTACTAGACGTGCGCTTGGCATAGTGCGAAAATTAGTTTGATAATGGAGAACAAGATTGCATTCTACAAGCTTTTGGCACAACCATTTCTGGTATCGTTTGGGTGGACAAGCAATACAACTTTATGATTGGTTGATGGTACTCAAATCAACCATAAACAAATCACAAGTAATGCTTATCCACCCGAACAACCCCAGAAATTGTTGCTCCACAAGCTTGTACCCATTTCCCTTGCAGTTTCTGGAGTGGGGAATTTTGTATTATTGTTTTTTAATTAAAATAATGTTCTTACTTGTCTTTATTAGGCATTTCTAAAAGGTGACCTGGATATTTTAAAAGATTGGTGCCATGAACCTGTAAGTCCAAAAAATTGCATTTTTGCGGAATCTTCTTCCATCAGTTTTTGTTATTGAGCTAATTTATTTTGTTCCAGGCTTACAATGTACTTGCAGCCCAAATTGAGCAAACTCGGCAGCTTGGACAAAAACTTGAGGCAAAGATCCTTGATGTTAGAGAGGTTGATGTAAGTTGGCTACATTGTATACTAGGGTTTGAGACAATAATCAAACATAAATTTTTCTTAATTTTACTTTATCATTCATGCCCATTGTTTCTGCTTGAACTTACTACATGTAATCACAAATATAATAATTAATTAAATTTTTCTTTGTACATAAAATGCAATATTATTATTTTAATTCCTGTACAGTGTATGCTAAGCTGAACAAGAATCTTTTGATAGGACCACAGTGTATGTGTAGATATCACAAGATAATAAGTGCTACCCTCGTGAAATTGAAATACATATTATTAATTTATTTTTTTTTCTTAGCTGTATTTCTTTCATTGGTAATAATGAAACAGACATCACATTGCATTTCCAAAGGTGCTTGAAACTCTATAGCCTTCAATGGGCCTTACCTAAAAAAACCAGAATGGTGATGACCACTTACTTTAATAGTATTGTTACATTAATTTTTTACATTTGGTTATTATCTAGCTGCACTTAAAGTTAAATAATATATCCAAACTCACCATGAAACTTAGTCACAAAGATACCCTAACCTGTAATACAGAATGGTATCTTACAGTGTACTTCCTGTTTTGTGTATAACGTTGCAGGTGGCAATGGCCAAGGTTATGGAACAAGGGCCTGTTTTAGTTCTCACTTTTATGGTACAACAGATTATGATCCTTAGAGATGCAGTCGGTAATATAATTGAGGGTGGAGAAGTGAGTATTTGCATTCTTGTTAACATTGTTATAATTAGTCACTCCAACTTATATTGTTCCTAATTAAAGGGGCTCGGCTTGAATGAAACATCGCAATGAATATTATTATAACCATATTTTTGATATGTGAAGGAACACATAAGGAATAAAGGCTGGCTTGCCACCTGTGCATTTCCCATAACACACCTTGTCCTCCCCTTCCCTCACCGGAAAATAAATTCATGACCTCTTGGTATTACAGTTATCTCAAGAGAAATTGAACTTTGGGGGGCAAACAAGGTGTTTTATGGGAAATGCAGGAGTGGCAATTAGAACCTAACTAGGATAGGAGGCTCAAAATATTGAAGCAGATTAAAACAGGCTACATATGGGTAAACCTTTCCCAACTGTTTTCTTCATTCCAATAACTTTGTGTACTCAGATCTGCTTGGAAAGTCGTTGTTTTACTGCAGTGATTTTGGTAATAAAATCATTTGCCTTGACACTATCACAATAATATTATTATTATATGATGCTGATGATGATGAAGGAAAACTATTCATAACTGTGTGATTTCATTATTTTGTTTTATTCCTGTAGAAGACAGGGCCAGCCTTTTTATTTTTCATAGAGTTTAGAAGTACCCATTATTGATAAAAATAGGTAAAATCAAAAACAGAAAGACTGGCAAATTTCTGGCAACCAATGATTTCTTTGTTAATTTATTTATTTGTATGGTTACAGTGTACATACGTCTTCTTCTTTAATAGTGGCTTAAACAACTGAGTTTAAAATTTTCAGGATTTAATCTCTCTCATATTTGGGCAATTTTAACTGCCATTTTTTGTGTCTGCAGGATAATATTGAAAATGTTAGCTATGTATGGGCACTGTGTAGAGATCAGAGCATACTGGATCACCGGTCAGCATGGAGAGTGCTTGAATTTGGGATTCAAAACAGCAGCGCATGGCTTTGATAAACCTTTACGCTGGTTCTTAATAGTGGCACAAGCATAAACACAAGTCTAGATTCAAGAATGTTCACACTTGGGTTACATACATTACCAGGAGACATTTGCAGGAGCAGAATTGTGAAATTTAAGAAACCCTTATGTCGGCAATACAGGGCACCCAAACTCACAACAGCTTAAGTACTGGAAGCCAAATTATAAGGATTTGTATGGGAATTTATTGTAATGTAGATAAGTACACATAAACAGCCATGAAAGTGTACATACCTCATAAAGAAGAAGACCTTGTCTTCTAGAACTACTTAGTAGCTAGGTGAGAAACCAAAACATCAAACCTTGCTAAAATAGCATTTACAGGGCCTAAACAGTAAGAAAACATCACAGACACAACTCTTTATAAGGTATGTACACTTTATTGGCTGGTTATGTGCATTGTAACCATTTTATCGATTTTACGATAATTCACATACAAATCCTTATTATTAGGCTACTAGTAGGCCGTTGTGAGTCTGGCCCCCCTGTCAAGTGTATTGGCAACAAAAAATAAAGTCATCATCCTGGTTGCTATTGGTTATACCTGTGCCCATCATGTTCTCATGTGGAATAACATTGTCTTAAGTATAAGCAAAAGAAGAACAGATACTTAAAAGATTTTTATACTTATGCTTTTGTAATGGCTGCCCTTGCTTGTATGCAGTTTCTCACTTTTGTACTTTTGATTACACCTGTGTCTCTATTAAGGACTGGGCTTTAAAGAGAAACCAATTTCGCTGTATTTACTCAAGCTGTTTAGTTGGCTTGGTCAAAGACACACAGATGCCACACTCTCTTTTAGAAGAATGTCTGTTTTAACCAGAGAAATATTAAGGAACTGCAGCATGGCATGAACTGACATCTCCTACATCTGGATTTCTACTAGAATGAACAGGTTATTAATTTTATTTATGTAAGAAACAGGAGAGAACTGAATAATAGCAATGATCAAGGAGTCTTTTGTACACGTCTATTGTCAGGATGTAGAACACCCATACATGCCAATTGAATAACACACCAGTCTAAGTAAACCCTGACCCCTTCCCTCACCCTGGGATATAGGTGGGGATTGGTTCTGAACAAATGCCCCACCATGTGGAGAAAATTTTTATGGAAGATACTGGTAGCAGGAATTGCCCCACCCCCTGGGGCAACTAAAAATGTTTCCAATGCGAGTTGTTTTCCCTTACAAAATGAAAATTTCACAAAGCAGTTGAGTTGATAATTAATGTCAGTTTAAAGGTAACAACTTGCAAGGGATGACAGGCCGCACATCTTCACCAGCGTGAAACCTTTGAAAAACCTTTTACATATTGCTCCAGTGAGGAGAACTTTTTCAGAGATTTCACACTTTAAAATTTGAAGGATGATATAGCTTCTACATAGCAGACCAAGATGCGGCTCAGTACAATTTATGTTCAGCAGAGGAAAATTGTGAAAGTTTAGCAGAGCCTTTAATGAGCAACAGAAAATGTAATCAGTTCTACTCAAAATTATAATAATTTTCCGCAGCTGCTGTAGGTGCGATCTTTGTTTTCTCAAAGCTAGGTTGTGTTTTTATAAAGGTTAAAATTTGAAAAATAGGTGTCTTGCCTTGCTTTTTTGTCAAGTATAAAAACATCTCCTTAAAATGTTAAGTGATGTATAATTGCTCCTAAAAATGGCGAGGGATTATGTTGTATATTTCCGTTTGAATTTAAAGCAAGATTTGCGTTTTACTATACAGTTGTGTACTGTACAGAGTCAATTTAGACATGATAATTTTTTTTTAAAAAAATTTCATGAGTAAAAAGCCCCACATCCCCGCAGACAGGGGCGACAAAAAGGCTCGAATCCCCCACCAACTTGGGACTCAAAGAGCTGCCAATAACGGACCAAATCCCTTCCAAAGCCCCACATATCCCGGAGTGGGGGTTTACTTTGAATGGTGCATAATGCTGTTAACTATTTTACACAGCTGATTTAAATAGTCAAAATAAAGTTATGGTTTGATTTGCAATCTCTACAGTCTTCGCCTCGCAGTGAAAGAGAACCTTAAAAAATTGACGCTTGGCCCGCCTCTATTTTTAAGGTTCGTTCACTTTTGGTTGTTTGTCCGTGATCTTTGTGATGAAGGAACTGGGGAGCACCCGATTGGATGTGATGGCAGTTAGATGACTTAGAATAAATAGTAATCGTTGTATTTTAGGCGTTCACGGCTTTCTCAGTTATACAGTTATTTCATCGGCGGATTTAGTTACATGTAAGTCATGAATAAGCAATATCTATACAACTAGCAAGTCCCCGGCCTTCTTTTCCTGAATTTCGGGTATTCGCCCATGGATTTAACTTGGTTTTCTCACCTTTGAAAAGAAGTGATTGTTTTGTGGGAGTGAGCAATGCAGTTTGCTTTCAGTGTATACGGAACCATTTCATTTGTTTAAATGTTTCTTACCTTCTTGACGCACATGATAAGCCATGTGCCTGTCTGTCGTACCTTTGGCGGTTTAAAGCTCAAATAGTCCAGTCAGTCGGCGAGTTTTTCCTAGAATTTTAGGGTAGATTTCAATGACAATCCGCCATCTTGGTTCTCAATGGCTGTTCAAATAAATTGGATACACTTTGTCTACCATCTATGAAGAAGCTACCTGCCGCTTAGGCAAAAATCGCAGGCTTGTGTGATGGCGCAATCTGAATTTGAATTTTAGTCCAATCAGCTTGCAGGAATTCCTCCGCGTCACAGATGACGTAATCGGTTGATATATAAAGACACGCCATCACGCGAAGACGTCAGTTTTTCAGTGACTTTGAACAGTGCCTGAAGGACCTACGTTACTGTGATTCAGAAAGTTTATCTAAACCAAACAAAGTTGTTCTATAATGGGTTGCAATTTATCTAAAATGCAACTACCGCGCCTGAATATGAAGAAGAGGGTAAGAACAACTTACAAGGACGAAAATTTTTGTAATAAATAGTGAAAATAGCGGATAATTTGCGCCATTAACTTTGTCGTTTGATTGCGAAGGAAAATCGTTTACATAGATATATGCGTCAACACCTGAGGTGATCGAAGAAGCGCCAGTTGCTAACCTGCGCAAATACTAGTGTAACAGCAAACGGTCATTTTGATTTTAAGTCATTCTATAGACTTGCCCGTAAAAAGCTACTAAAGTTAAGCGAGAGGGGAAAAAAACCTAATTTTAGCGAAGCGCGAAAACCAAAAGCGAAGTTTGAGATGGCTAAAAATATTTGAGAAGCGCATGCAAGCGAAAGTTCATGGTTCATTAAGTCAGAGTGAACAAGAAGCGCACAATATCAGCAGGCAATTAGGCTTTGTTCACACTATAACGGAGAGCTTTTGCGCTAACAAAAAAGCCATAGGGCTTCTGTTCGCACATAAAGTGGAGACTCGCATAGCGGATAGGTGTTCAGACTATTAGCTTTTCGTGGCACCACGTAACTGTTGCCCTTTCCAAATCATATGCTGTCTGAAACTTTATTTTGAGGGGTAAAATGTTTCAGTGTTAAAAAGTGAAAAAAAAAAGCTGCGAATAAAATTCGCCAAATCGCCAAAAAAAAGTGGCGACATCAGAAAATGTCAGCGTAAATTTACATGGCCCTTCAGGGCCTCGTAAAGTTCACCTTCGACAGACAAAACTTTTAACCGCTCGAAAAAATGTTACAGCTGTTTAAAAATGCTGATGTCAACTGACTGCCTGTCTCCGCTAGACCCTAAGGTTATTCCAGGCGGCCAGTACTCTAATTTTGCTTTTAATATTTTTTCATTGTCTTAATTTATTGTTGAACGAAGAGGGTGAGTACAAATAAAGATAAAGACTGAAAGAATCGAATCGTATTTAAATGCGCGGAAGAGTGAATATAGAAACGTACTGACTGTACAATTAGCAACTATTTTTCGCCCCAGAATGGCCCTTGCCAATCGGCTGCCCATGTGGCTTCCGCCCTTTAACGAGTTCAATCTTCTTTCTCTCTATTTTAACTTTGTTAGGCCACCAAGGCAAAGGCTTGGTCTGAGGAAGAGACTGAGATTCGATCCAGTCCTACCCGTGAGCATAAACAACTGCCACAGAAAACAACTGCCCAGACCTCCTATGCCCAGCCAACAAGTCATGAAGACTTTTCAATATTAGCTTTCATGGCAGGAAAGTTTCTGATCATGACTGGGTTTACGTGAGTCAAAGAGAACAATCAAAACCCAGGGCCCGAACTTTGGCTGCGCGTGGACGTTCTAAAGTCCCGTTCGCAAGCGGCTTTGGAGAACATTTTTCTCCCTTAATATCTATGACTGAGAACCTTTCAGAGTGGGTGGAACCATATGATAGAGAACTTCTTACTAAGAATCTTAAAGAATGCTTGGGATATCAAGGTCTCAATGCAAATGGGTTTCACCTGCTAACGTTGTCTCCAAGACCTTTCTTAGAGATGAGAACTAACTATCAGCTCCCTCTCTATGTTGTCTCTATGGTGAGGGTATCGGTCTTGGAACACTTTTTACGGTGGGTATAAGTGAAAGGTATTGCTCTCTAGCCTGGGGCCAGGTTCTGCAGTAGGGAAAAAGAGGATAGAAAAATGCTTGCCGAGTTTGTTTTGCTTTTTTGCTTTTTCATCCCCTATTTTTTCTTTTTTCCCTACTGCAGAGCCTGGTACCAGGCTAGTTACTCTCACGGTGCCTCACTCCAACCTTGCCCCAGTTTTTCATGAGGGGATAGCACCGAGGTTAGCCACCAGATAAACCGCTCTCCAGTGGATGAGCATTAGAAAAACCAATCGCTTTATCCACTGGATTATCGAACGGATAGCCACCCTTAAGGCCGAGGGATTTTGCTCCCGGAGCATGCTCCAGGGGCACGCTCCGGGAGCAAACCTCCTCCGTGTATACCAATGATTTCATAGGTATGCTTTATCCTCGGGAGCAGAATTTCCACTCCACAAAATGCTCCACGATATTTAACCGGTTAAATATTTGGAAGCA